CGCAACCTTACGGCAGAGTTTCTCAGGGGAACGGAAAGGACTCTGGTGCTCCACCACCTGGAAATCCTTGGAGAAGATCGAATGTCCTTTTGCGACCAAGTCGAAGGGAGTGGAGTTACCTTCTATTGCACGAATAGGTACTCCGTGTTCGGGTGAGGATCATTGTTGGTTCTCCGCCGATTTTTCATCCGATTGTTTTGCGTGCAAATACCGTCGGCTGTGTGGAAAGAGTTGTGGAAATGGTGAGGGTCGATCTCGCCGTTTTGCAAGTACCGCCATTGCAACTCCGCGAAAGCACTTTTCGGGAAAGCGCAATGCCTCGGCCTGGGACAATGGGCAAGTGTCGCTTTGAACGCAAGCGAGCTCACAGAGAGAGAGAGAGATTCGACGGTGTCGAAACGTGGGGAGAAACCCTGGAAGCGAATTCGACGCTCGCGAGATTTCACCCCCGAAAGTCGGAGATACGACCAGGGGTTGATCCCTGCACAGGGGGGCTCAAAATTGCCGGGTTTCTTCTGAGCGGCGTAATCCTCGTGAATGTCCTCCTCGAAGGTCTCTTTCGACTTTCGTTCGACGTGTACCTCCCTTCTTCTCGTCCCGAAATAGCTGAAACCATTTTTTTTTATTCCCCGATATTCAATCGATCCGACGAGTCGACGGTGGTTATTGAAGAAAATTTCCTAAAAAATGTCCTGCATTGTAAAGGAATCGATTATGCCAATTGAAACCAGTCGCAGGAATTAAAAGTGACCTAATATTGTTCCTAAACGGTTAATTCGTAGCCTGAATTGCGCGTATTTGGAGCATCGCTTTGTCCGCGGTGCATTTTCTTTGCAACTCCACCCCGCGGAGGCAATCTCGTATTATTTCGTCGACAGTTAATTTCCCTGCAAAGGCACACCCGTTTGCCCAGCAGCGTCGTACTTCTTAGGAAGTTCCTTCCATCCCGTATTTACCGTACAATGAACAACCTCGAACAAAGGCGAGGTAGGAAACGGAAAAGTCGCGATTTGCAATTAACTCCGAAGTGGACCTTCGTACTTGGGACTGCACTTCCGTTCACTTAACATTAATGAACCTTAAATTTTGCACCTACCACGTCAAAGGAAGAGACCGATTAAAACCCAAAAGTATCAACGTAGTCGCAAAATCTGAATATCTAATGATTTAATTGGAATAAAATGCGACGAGAAATGCAATTAAGGTAATCTCGAGTATCTGATTTCTGGATCTGTGGGAAGTGCTCTCGGAAATGCAGCATCTACCACTGTAAAAAATGATTAAAAATTCAGTTTTCAGGGAACTCGTAAAGTCCCAATATCGAATAAAATAATCCGACTAAAACGCGGTGAAAACATGTAGCCAAGGCAATTTTGAGTATCTGATTTCTGGACCCATGGGAGTGTCCTCGGGAGCTCATCATCGAGAAGCTTTCGGGTCTCCTTGGGACACGTCAAACGTTTGATAGGCCTCTTCCGTTCAAGGGGTCCTCGAGATATTTCAGAATGTGTCTCCTTTACGGTCCGCAGACAACACTGGCCATATTCATTAGAGCCGACGAACCGAGAGCAGCACTTCACCAGTCCCGAAGAGTCCTCGACTCTGAATGTACCAAAGGCGAGGACCCGAGACTGGAGGTTCGTTACAACGTCGTTAGCCCTACGCCTCATCGATTTCTTCCGATCGACTTCTTCGCCCCTAAATATCCTCCCGTTCCGCCCCTTAACCGATCTCGGCCATCGAGGTCGGAAAAGCCCCGGAAACGGCGAAGAAGTTGAAAGCTCGCGAGCTTCCGGGACGCGGAGGGCATAATTCTCCGGCCCGTTTTCTCGGCTCGAAAAGTAAATCAGCAGGGAACCATGGAGCAAACACTCAGGAGAGAGTAACGTCTTCAAGTTCGGCTGGCGGGAGTAAACAAGCCTTATTTTATCGCTTTTGGAAGTTGCATTCGATAGCAGAACGTTCGGCTGCGGAGACCCCCCAGAAATCGACTGCCAAATTTCGGAAGCCAAGCGTTCGGAAATTAATTCCCTGAAAATAGATTGGACAGTAAACGTAACGAATCTTTCATCCTTTCGACCTTTTAATTGGCAGAGAAACTGTACCGGGTAAATATGAAGAGGTTTCACCGAGGGAAATACATGTCGATCGGGCGTGGAAAGGTGGAGGATCAAACGCGCCGTAGTTTCCTAAACCTACGCACCGCTAATTACGTATAGAGGATTTTTTGACAACGTGTACAGAGTGGCTCCACTTTCGGGAGCTTACGCTTCTATCGCCCTTTAATGCGGTTTACTTCACCCTCTGTACAGCGATCGAGAGAAAAGCGTGGAAAAGTGAAAGCCCAGAGGAAGGGAAAATGACGAGCATCGTTTACGCGAATTGATACGAAAAAGAGAAAAAGATGTCGATGATTCCTTTGGTTCGTTGGCTTTTTAATACAGCGTTAGTCATTTCTCACGGGCTGAAATTTTTTTATTCCACTTCTGAGGAAGTGAGCTGAAAAATATCTGCAAAGTTAAACGCCCCGTACCCTCGGTATGAAAATCTGAAAACTTTGGAAAACACCCGAGAAAGACTCGAGGGAGTCTCCCCGTCACTGTCCTCGCGAGAGCGTTTACACGGGAGAAGATGAAAAGTTACCGAGCTAGTTCGCTGATCAGAGCTTTCTTGTGGTAATCGGTAACAGTTAAAAGCTCCCCTCACTTAATCTCCGGCGAAAGGAAGGATCCTTCGGCGTGTATCCTCGATAATTTCTACCTCCTCCGAGCCCTACGCAGGCGCCTCGTCAATTTTCCTGACCATGCCCTCGACTATTCTTTTCGAGATGAAAAACTTTCGAGTGGGCTTTTCGGCTCAATCGCCCTCTGATAAGCGATATCAGCCACTGCTCACAAATCGCTCATGACAGACGGACCTGACGTGAATTATCGAGCGCACGAATCCTTCGATACGAGCATCCTGGGGGTTCCTTTGGAGATCCGACAAGGTCCAGGACAATTTCCCGCCCCTAAATTCTCGAGATATAGGAAAGACGCAGAAGCTGTTATTCTCCAGTATCCGAGCAGTCGATAAATAATCCGCGATACCCAGACAGGAAGGAACATATGCCCATTCTGGACCATTTTATGTGTCAACTTCTCCCAGCATCCGCAGGATGATCCTGGGGCTCCCTTCGACCGCACAAGGATGTTCCACTCTATTCCTGCAACTATCTCCGTCGCCCAGGCACTCCATCCGTCTGCCCATAAACTTCCTCATTCCAATCCACAACAAGCCGATTACTAACGGCATTCGAGAGCCATTGTTACGCGAAACGACGTACTTCCCATGGAAGTTCGGGGAGCCCCGTCGAGGAAGTTTGCTTATCCCGCAACTTCCTCGATCGCGACTAAGGCGGGATCGCTCGAAGAGGTTGCAGATGAGGTCGGTCTAAAGTTGCGTTTTTCGGGGATTTAAAGTTCCAGGGCGTCTTACTCTGTGGAACATCCCACCAGGAGGTTCTCTCGAAAGTAGCCTCTTAGCGCCCACAACTTCCCAAGTCCGGCCGCCCACAATGGGAAAGAGGTCCTCTCGTCTGGGAAATTCCTTGTAATTCTCCGAGGATATTTCGCGCAGTCCGCCGACAGTTCCTTCAAGTTGGGGGATCCGGGTTTGCGGGGTGTTTCGTCCTCGGAGCTTTTCAGGGATTTCGCGAAAAGGGCTCCTCGGGTTCGCGGAATGTCGGTGTCTCTGCCGGCAGTCAGTGGATCATCGATGAGATCAGCTGATCAGCTGACTTTGACAGATGCGCCTGGGATGGAAAGCTGCTCCGGACTTGACGCGACTGCGCCCCAAGTTCGATTCCCGGCTTGATTTGTTGCGAGAACTCGCCCCTACTCGATCGAAGGCTCCTTTAATTTCCGGTAACTCGAACTTCCAGGACATTTCCAGTTGAGTTTCAAAGAGGCTCGAGAAATTCCCGCGCACCCTGGATAACGTTAACCCGCGTACCCGGGTTCCAACCAGCCTCCACGTTTACGAGGACCTCGTTTCGGAGCAAGTGCCAGAAGCCAAAAATCCCCGAGTCCTAAAATCCTCCCGGAAAAGAGACATTTGCCCTCTCAGCAAAGAACGACCCTGCTGACGTTCCTCTCCTACCTACTTCAAACGTAGACATAGCCACAATGGGTCTTCCTTTCGAAAATCTGCCTGCAACCTTATCATACGAATTTTCAGCAACATCCCGAAACGTCCTCTCGTGACTATTGCAACGAGTATAACTTTCAGAAATAACCATTTTCTCCACCTACTTAAAAAATATCCGAAGCAACCAAACCTCTCTTATCATTTTTATCATTTCCCCCTGCGCGTAGATTGCACCCCTAATTAAATGCACCCGAGATCGCGACTCTGAGACAACTTTTCCAAGATCTCAGTCCCCAGAGGAGTTCAATAGGACACTAGGGGTCCTATCCGCATCCGGAAAATTCGGCGCGCAATTAGCCCTCTTCGAAGTGAGCCCTCGGCCATCCCTTGGCAGCCCTGCTGGCGCTAACCCTCGCCGAATGAATAATAAGCGCGAGAGCGGTCCGGGTACTCGGGAAGCTTCCGCGGAGGTCGACCTGGAGGCGTCGGCGCCGTCGGTCGATGCCGCCAGATGCCGCCGCGGCGCTGGTGTCGCCGGAAAATAAGCTCGCCCAAAAGCCATCCCGTCTGCAGTAGCCCGGCATCCGCCGCCGCAGCAGTTCTCGCGCGCTCGCGGTGCGCTCCGACACACTGTGGCTCCGACACCGGCGCCTGCACAGGCCCCTGCGGGCCGCATCGCCCCCCACCCCGCGGCTCGGGCCCCTACCGGCCCCATCGGCCCCCCACCCCGCGGCACCGGGCCCGGCCCCTGAGAGGCGGCCGCCAGCCACGATGACCTAGTGGAAGCGGCCGCGGAAGTGGCAAATGCGCGCCCCGGGCGCCTCGAGAAAGTGACAGCGCCGCGAGGCGGACCGATTGACAGCGTCGTGACAGCGCGAGGCGGACCACCATGACGGAAGACGGCGGGACGGTGCGGGGGCGCGGGAAGGGGCCGACCAGACCCTCTGCTTGCTCCTTATAGGGGGTACCGTCGATCCTCCTCTTTACTTTGCACCCTGCCGACTTCGCGGATTTTCCCTTCCTCGTTTTCTGCTCTACTTCTCGAGGAGGAAAACAGATACCTACCCACGAGGCTTAAAGATCTGCTTTGCGGGGCTGTAATTTGTATCCAAAAATTTTGGTTCCATGTGCAGTTCTGGGAAGGTACTCTTTGATTTAGTGCCTCGGTGACCGCCACGAGGTTTTACCCTATTTTATTATTTTTTTCGTTCTTTCAGTTAGTGAAGCTTTAATATTTATCTCGGGTGTTCTTTAAAGTGTGGTTTAAGATATTCTTTGGTTTGGTGCTTTTGGTGATTTTACCGTGAGGTTTCGCCATATTTTTCGCTCTTTTCACGTAGTTATGTAATCCCTGGCTGGGAGCTTTGGTCGGGGCACTTTTTTTGTTATATCGCGGTTTGAACGAGGGCTCGCGAGAATCCCGAAAACGCCACCCGGTCGAATGCGTGTCACAAGGGTGGGTGTGCATCCGTGCAACTGCAGTCTGCAAAGCGGGTGAGGTCGGTAATGCGGAAGTGCCCGCGTCGAAATGAGTTTGTATTGATATTTTTAAATGTCGCGGCTTAGCCAGCTGATGCATTTATTTACACGACCTGCACTGCGCTATTTGTAGATTTACTCCGGCCAGGATGCGTCAGCATGCAGCTGGATGCATCGATTGCACCGGTCGGCACATTAATTTGCTTCTTTGTTTAATTAACGGGGCCCTCGTTAAATATCCCCAGTTCTCGTGGACTAGGAATTTCTGGTAACGACTCCGCTCTAGTAAATTGACTACTAATTTCTCGGCAATTTCTTTCTTAAAATCTGAGGAAGGAAAACTCCAAGAACGCGGAAGGAGTCCCTAAGAATCATCAGCGAGGCCGAGGAGGGCCGTAAAAGTTTATCGCGGATCTTTTTCTTTATTTTATATCGCTACCGATATCAATTTAGGCACCGCAGAGCAATGGCGACAGTTGCAAGGGGAAACGAGAGGGAATAAAGGGAATAAAAGGGGAGGCCCATCGGTGGGGACGGGGAGAAATTTAATCACGGCTCGTGATATTCTTGTTATGCTCGTAAAAAAGCACCCGACGTTAAGTACCTCGAGAACGCACTAGTGCAACACCTCCTGGAAGGTGTGCAAATAATGTTGTATTTAAAAGCCCGCCTTCCTGGCAGAGCTCGTAAACACGAATTTCTGTAACTCCGGGATTAATTGCGCGGTCGGTGTAATTGTACTTTACCCCGCACGTAGGGCAAAGGTAACCCTTTGATTTTACATTTTCCAGGCGACTCAAATTGCGAATTAATACCGGAGTAGCGAATACGTGAATGAAAAGATATGAAATTCGGGATTAATTCCCCAGGGAACTGCTTAATGAAGGTAACTCGATAACGAGCAGTGAAACGTGATCGTTAAGTTCCGTGGAGAAAAATTCGGCACTTTTAATGACACGGGCAGGGACGCGAAATCAAATCAACAGCGGCGGCATTCAATTGTTTTAACGCCCGTCTGGACACGCTCAATATTGATTTTTGTTTTATAGCCAGGCAAGCTCCAAAATTCCCGCGGCTAATAACGTTATCGCGATTATGAAGCCCTCCACGAGGAATAAATCTCGGCAAAAGTCCCATCGGCGATGCATTAAACATTCCGGAAATATTATCATACAGTAGTCGCGAGCTGAATTCCCGGCAAAAGTGCACGGTTTTAATTTTTTTTTTCACGGGATATTTGAGGTTTACAAGGTGAATTTTTCCCGGAAATCCGGGAAATTAGCGAACCCCCGTCGTTTTTCGCGAATTGTCTTGCTTTACCCTACTCCAACCCCAGCGCGGTAATGCGCGAAACACGTGAAAACTTTTTCCAAGTACCGGGGGAAACGCCAGCGATATTACTCTACTTATACACGTGAACTGCAGTCTCGTTCTGCCGGGACCGAACAAAACGAGCTCGGCCTCGATATGCAGCCCCACATTACCGAAAACGCGGAAAAACAATCCTAAACCTTCGTTAAACACCGCCATTGTCTCTTTAGCTGGCCGAACGCGTTTAATTCGTTTCCCTCATTACCAGGTGCCGAACAATAACGTAAAAAGTACAATGCAAAATAAATTAAAATGGTACTCCCGAAATTTGTGTAAAAATTTCATTTCTAAGCGTAACGTAAATTCGGTGGGATCGTAAAAATCTTCTAATCGGCGAAATCTATCCCCCGGGGCTGGTAAATTCGGAAATTCAATTTTTTAACCGACACGCATACTTGGGGGAAAAATCGACAAAGTGCATCCCTCTTGGTGCAGGTGCAGGGGGTTTCGCGATAATCGCCCGATCGAACCTCGCCGATGGCTTTCGTGGTGCCAGGTCTCTGGGGAGGGGTCCCGGGGGATGAAATCGGGGTAACGGGGAAATTATGTACGGGGGTGCGGGAATTCGTTAACGAGGATTCGTTAAGTCACGACCCGTGGAAACGAAGTCGCTGAAAGGGCGCGGGCGCAAAGCCCATCGGAAGTTCGGCTTAGGGGTAATAAGACCGTAAAATGAAGGGGATTACGGGGGATTGGTTGTCATTTTAATTAGGACCGAGAAGTGACATGCGAGGCGTCGAGTTAAGGGTGGAGGGATAAGTTCCTGCGGCGTAGGGGTTCGCTAATTTTCAGGGGAATCTCGAGGAAATTCAGGCCGATCGCGACGATTTTTCGGGATTACATGTCAGAGGTCGAGGTCTTGCACCGTCGCCATTTGCTAAGCACCCCTTGGCTCGCTGAAGAGTAAATCATTCCCAATGTCAATTTGCGCACCGTCAAAATTCACGGCGCTAATCACCGCCGCGAAACGACGCGCTCCCCAGGAGTTGGTACTTATACATCGATACCGCACTTCTGCACCCGCGTAGATGGCTTTTCAACATCCCGGCCTTACCGTAAACTCATTGATCAGTGCCGGTGCATTACATTCGTCTCGACTTCCGCGCAATCACGGAATGTCGATTCGAGGCGTTAATCAACGCGTCCATCAAACCGGGTTTCCGCTCGCGATACCGTTCCCTATGTTCCACGAGGGTACGCGTCGTCTCGTCACGGAGATTAATGCCGTCAATCCCGTAGAACCAGCCACCGAATGAAATCACCCTCTGATTGACTGACAGCGATGTTTCCTTATCGGGGGGGTCCGAAAACATCGAAATTTCCCGGTTTGCGGTGCTCTCTTCGATGCTACGATCCGTAGAGCACCAAAAATCGGGACGACTCCTCGATAAGGAAGCATCGCGTGGTCCATTTGACCTCTTCTGCTGGGATTATGGCCTTCTTTTTTCTAAGTATGGAGGTCGAATAAGCAGACTCCCTGTAAGCGCTGAATCCCCAGATTGGTCGCCTCCTCGAGGTGCGGCTCGACGAGCAGTGGTGGGGCCGATAAGAAGAATCGCCATCGCGACAAGCACTGCCGGGATTGGCCGAGATGGCGAACGACAAGGAGGAGACCTTCCTGCAGAAGCTGCTCTTCTACACGACCGCGTTCTTCATCCTCCTCGGCACCTTCAGCCTCTTCGCCTTCCTCTTCTTGGTACCCTTCGTCATCGATCCCGCCTTCACCACCATCTTCATGGAGTTCGACACGAGGCCGGCCGAGTGCGTCACCATCGACGTCGAATCCAGGAGAGGTGAACGTCCGGTGCATTTCTCCCGTTGCATAAATGTTCCCCTCCTCTCGTTTCGTTTCGCTCTTCTCCTCGGGACACCCTCGGAAGCGCGCCTTGCCTTCCTCGAATTTCCCTCCACCGTTTCGGGCCGCTCGAAATACTCGCCATTTTTTTTACGCGCTCTGGGACCATTTCAGAGCCCGTAAAAAATTCCTCCCGAGTTATTGTTAGCAAATTTTCCCTCAAATTTTTATTCTAACGGCGAGGGGCGCTTCCAGGACCTATCCCTCTTTTGGGTCTGTGTCGAGTCGAGCGTTGTCGGATGTTTTTCTCGTTCTTTTTGGGTAGTTCCTATGTGTGTCTACATATCTATTTCCCGATGTGTCGCTTGACTTTTGGTGTCTCCCTCTGCCTCCCCCCTTCCCCCTTCTCCAGATGAGACGTTATAAAATTTTCTCAAAGATACCTCGGAAAAACGAGGATCTTTCCTCGTCGCAATCGATCTGCTCTTCCCGGAAGAGCGAGCCGAACATTTCGGCTGCACGTCAGGAGGCGTGCTCGAGAACCTTTCTCGTTAGAACCTTCGGGGAAATCGCGTACTTTCTCTATACTTCGCTTAATGATGTACGCGCCTCCTCTGGTCTCTCCCCCGCAGCAATTACCGATGCGGATGAAAGGCCGCGCGCCTTCGGACGCATTCATCAGCTCCTGGGAATTGGCTTTCAGAAGTCGTGGAGGCGCCCTGTTCATTTCTGGATTTATCAGCCGTCAAAGGTGGTTATTTCTCCTCCCCCTCGCATGACCCTCCTGGTTCGTCCTAGATGGTAATTATTATTTTTCTTTTTTTCCAACTGCCCGGAGCGTTTATGTTAATAACGGCTCGGTCGTTGCGGAATCATCGATCTTGCTCTCTGAGAGACATCTCGGCCGAGGAGAAGATCCTTTTCGGGGATTTCATTCCCCGCGCAAATTCCATTTCGGATTTAACCCTGTACCAGGGTCGTGTACCTTTGTGCTCAAAGGAGCTTGCATGCTTAAAGACTCTTCAGCGGGAAAGAAAGCTGGATGTTCCCGTCCGTTCTCTTCTGTCGACCTACCTCCGCGACATTGTCGCATCTTCAACCCTTGCCTCGCAAAACGGCCCCCCGTGGATGCATGCAACGAGGGTGCATTGTAAATTCTCCGAAAGAATTACCCGTTTCATGGGAGAAGGAGCATGAATTAGTTGGTTTCCCGGATACTGTTTAAATTTGAGAAAATATCTCGCCCCTGGCCGGGCTAAATCTCGCCTTTCAAGTTCTGCTCTTGCAGCCGCGTTTCCAGGTCGAATGGGCCGTTTAAGTGGCCGACAGAAATCCTCCCCTAATTTCACTCACCCCGGGAAAAAGTATTTTAATTACGCCACGGAGGCTTCGGGGAGTAGTCTCTCGAGTTTATTTTAAATCGAGGCCGGTCTCTCGTGGCTTGACAAATTTTATCCCGTCCGCGCCCATTCGCGATATGCCGACGCAATATGTCGCGGCGTTCGATGCGTTGTTTAAGCTAATTTCGGGAATAATGCCCTAATTCGAGTCAGGCCCTTGTTCTATCCCCGTCCTGAATTATGCACCGTTCGGCCGGGAAGTGGCGGACAAGGCACTCTGGTCAATATTTCTAGTACGCTAGAAGGTGAAATTAATTATTCAGAGGTGAACCTCTGAACCACCCCCTGAGGGAGCACCCTTGGAGAAGAGGAGCGTCTTCCAGGATTACCTCCGCCAAAAATTCCGGCCCGTCTCCGAAATCATTCCCGCCGATTTCCCGGCTCTCGGGGAAGCTGCGGATTTTCTCGGGCCATCCCCGCGTTATTGTCTGCACGTTGTTTATATACCTCCCGCGCTATTCGTCTCGCCACGAGACAAAAAGAGGACACCCCGGCAGGTACGCTCTTCCCTCCCCCGTGAAATATTCAGATCGTGTGTCACGAACGTCGAGGCCGTCGTGCCCACGGGTTCGATTCACGACCCTCGATTTCGCCTCTTTTTATTTCTCAGCCACCGTTGATTTCTCCCACGCCCTCGGCGAGTCAGCCTTCCTTCCGTTTACCACGGAAGTGGGGGGTGTAAGTACTTTTTTCGTTATTGGTTTCCGCCGATGCACGGTCGAGCGAGGAGAGACTCGATTTACGTTTGGCACGGCCGCTGGGCCGATCTGCCAAAACGAAGGAAAAACTAATGGCGGCCCAGATCCCACCTATCAATAATTGCAGCTCTGCCTCGTTCCTCGTTGTCCGCAGTGCTTCATTATCGGGGTTGTTTCTTTCTCTCGCCCCGTCGATTCCCCTTTTTTCCTTCGTCCCTCTTTCGACGCCTCCAATTTCCCGGGGAAAGTGTCTACAGTCGAAGCCAGGTTACGTGGGATTTAAAAGGGAACCAGACGCAATAACCCCTTCTTCATGGTGACATAAACTCTCCTAGTTATGCACAGCTGTCGGGTGGAGGGAAATACTGCGGCGTTCCCTATCCAGAAGCCTCCAGGAGGTGATACGGTTTACCGCGATTACCATGACATTACCCCGTGTCATCCGCTAATTTCGCCGGCGTTTTCCCTTCCACCCCCAGGGGTGAAGTCATCGGTTGGGCCGCGGAGAATCCCAAGGACTCCGGATTTGACACGACCCCAAGGTGCATCCACTCGACGCGGAGGAGGTTCCCGGCAGGCTTCCAAAATTAACATCCACTTTTGACCTAAGGAAGGGGGAAGCGGTGCCACCCGAGTCCTCGATATCTCCAAGGATTGCGCAGTGCAGCGAAGGGCCAGCTCTAGAATTGATCCGTTTCCCTTCTTGAGTGTCATCTTTACGGGTTCACCCCTCTGTCTCTCCTCTCCGTGTAGCCATCTGTTGCATGCAGCACCCCTTGGTAGCCCTCGTTGCAGATGGCAATTAGACCCTCGATATACCCGAAGGCGGTGTCTTCTGTCCCCGCTCGACGTTCCACCGTCTGGTCTCCAGTTTTTCTCCCCCGTGTCTTCTATGTGCACCCCCTTGCACGTGCACCCTTAATCGTCCCCATTGGTCTACTTTGTCAGTCATTGTGTCGCATCCACGTGAAAATCCCGAATTCGAAATCCCCGCTGACGACGAGCCGTCGTTGCGATCCAGGTACGAGCAACTGCTCCTGGGCCTCCTGTAAGGAGGGTTGCACGAAGGAGCTGTACGATTGCACGCAAATCCGCGTTAACTACAAACTCCCGGTGAACACCTCGGAGTCGGAAGAGTTCGGTCCCGACGAGGGCAGGGCGGCAGGAGGTGTCGAGGGCGACGAGGACGCGAAACCGCGTTACGAGCGCGCCCTCAGGGAGTACGACTACGTGGAGGACATCAACGACTTCGAGGATGAGGACGAGGAGGATGGCGACCTGCCGAGGCCTTTCCCTACAGGTATTCCAGGTGTCGTTTCTAGCCCTGGAACCCGGGCCCTGGCGAACGCTCATCCTCCTCCACGACTGATCCCCAGGTCTCATGGGCAACGACTCCGAGTGGTACTTCACCGGCGCCAGGCTGTTCCCCAACGTAAAAGGCTGTGGATACCCTCCAATACTGAATTGCAGTATTTTCTACCGGCAGTACGCCAACGTAGGGCAAAACTTTAGCTGTTACTACTCGAAAGTGGATCCCGGGATAGTCATCAGCGAGCTGGACATGTGGCAGGTCTCTGAGCGACCCGGGACTCCCCCCAAGCTTTGGAATTCCTGGCTGATGATCGTGTCTCTTTTCCTAATACGGTATTACCTGGCTAACAGATGTTCAATTACAAAGACAACCCTCAATTCACTACGACCGATTAAATGGCAATGTGTTTCTTGATGCTGCATTAAATCGGGCGGAATTTCTAGGACGCATCCTTCATCGCGGTTTTTCTTCGGGCGTCCCGTAATTAGCATCGCATCCGAATTAATTCGCGAACTCAATTCACCCTCAATTCACTATGGCCGATTAAATGGCAATGTGTTTCTCGATGCTGCATTAAATCGGGCGGAATTTCTAGGACGCATCCTTCACCGCGATTTTTCTTCGGGCGTCCCGTAATTTGCATCGCATCCGAATCAATTCGCGAACTCAATTCACCCTCAATTCACTACGGCCGATTAAATGGCAACGTGTTTCTTGTTGCTGTATTAAATCGGGCGGAATTTCTTGGAGGTATCCTTCACCGCGATTTTTCTTCGGGCGTCCCGTAATTTGCATCGCATCCGAATCAATTCGCGAACTCAATTCACCCTCAATTCACTACGACCGATTAAATGGCAACGTGTTTCTTGATGCTGCATTAAATCGGGCGGAATTTCTTGGATGCATCCTTCACCGCGGTTTTTCTTCGGGCGTCCCGTAATTTGCATCTCATCCGAATCAATTCGCGAACTCGACCTCGACCATTCGGGACACTCGTTCGCAATTCCGCAACGTTCGGAACGAACCCCTGCTCGAATCTTGTCTTTCCGATAGCCCCTCGAGATCGCTTTTGCTAGTGCAATTAACGGCCTCCCCGAGTTGGTGACGAGCAAGTACGGGCCCTTCAAGCGCGAACGATTCGCGGATAAAGGGCGCGAAGTTTCGCCTCGACGGCGGAGCCCTCGAGTGGGCAGACAATGCGCTTCGACGTGAATGGGACGTCACGGCGTAACGGATGTCGCCGTCGACGATAAACGGGAATTGCGCCTCCTCGAAATTGAATTTCCCCCGTCAGCCCCGCTAAGACCTGTCCCGGAATTCCCGAGGCCTAGGGATTAAAGTTGCCTCGTTGCGTTGATTATTTCCGGGGAAGACGTTATGCAGATTTGGGCATTCGCGAATTTCCGGATCCCCAAGTACACAATTTCAGGACATCTCGAGAGATCTCAAGGATTTATGTACCTGTGTACTTGAGACATTCATGAGCTTACCTGGGAGCTCGAGAACGCGTGGGTGCATTTATGAAAATTCGAGTATACGTATACCCGGGATTTCTCAAAGTGCATGGGTCCACCAGGGAGTTTAAAAATTCCTGGGTGTACTTGAGAATTTTTAATTTAACAATACACAGGCACACTTGCCAATTGAAATACCTGTAAACCTGTAAATTCTTCTCGTGGGAATACATGTAAAAAAAAAAAAAAGAATTGGAACACGCATCAACCCTTGAATTTGGGAACTCCTAGATTGACCCGTAAATTCGACTCTTGCACCTGGGAATTTGAGAACTCATGGGTAAAGTAAAAATTCAAGGATTTGCATGCCTGAAAGTTTGAGAAGTCTTAAGTACCAATCTAGAAATTCGGGGCTCGCGTACCTGGGAATTCGAGGACGGAATCGCGAACGCGAGACACGGCGACGTGGTCGTGAAAAGGCGACCCTCCTCGGGGATGCTCTGCCGAAATAGAATTCCCGTCACGTCAAGTTCCCGAGGCCCGTCCGGGATGTTCGATAACGCGCGGGTGACAAGCCTTTACGTCATTAACGCGAGAGTCTCGCGATATCGATCCCCTCGAGGGAGGGCGGAGGAGACTCCACCTCGAAACTTTCGGTCCCCCGAAGGATGGCCACACATCGGGAGGGAGGTCGGGAAATTCGCTCGCAATTAACGAGACCACGGTCCGTAGAATTTGCCTCCGCCCCGGCGGTAAATTCCCGGCATAAATGTACCCAACTAACAGAAATTAGGTCCGGGACAAAAGTTCGGACCTCCAGAGGGTGCAGCACCGAAAGCGGGCGATCCGTTTAAGGGGCGCTATCGAGTAACGAGGGAACGCAGACTGTCATTACGGATAAAGTATTCTGGGTCAATGCACCACTCGCGCGACCTACGGTACCGATACCTTTCCTGTAATAAGGTACAATGTCGCGTGCCAACCTGCCGTGCAGCAGCGTTTCCACCCGAGTCGTACGCAGAATTACAGAGCTAATTACCCCCGGTATCAGATTTCTCCCAGTACTCGTTTTACCGAATATTCATTAAATACATTACTCGAGCCTACCTCTGCGGGGAGCGAGACCCTAAGTACCAAGCTGCCATTAGACGAGTACCTATCCTTGGAGATCGGAATTAAAATCCCATAAAGTAAGTCACCCCTGGGATTATCCGCCCCCTCTTAAAGGGTGCGCGGGGGGCGGATTTCGGAAACGAGAGCAGAAACGAATTCCAAAGCTCGGGGGCGAGGGGCGGACGCCCCCCCAGGCTAAGACCGCCAAGAAAAGCCAGCTTACGAGAGAATTACGGTGGCATTCCTAGGTGTACATGAACCTCGTCTACGCGATGGCCATTCCGATACCGTCTTTCATAATCTCGGTGATATATCTCACCATCGCCTACTTCAAGATTTACAACGAAGAGGGCGAGGCGCTCGTCGACGGCAAGGAGGAGGACGAGGACGAGAAGGGGGAGGGCAGCAACGCGACCCCACTTCCGCCGACAAGTGGCGCCATCACCCCCGGAAGTGAGGCTTTCCGGGAAGATCTGGCGAGTTTCGGGCACCAGCTCAAAGTCGCGATGGCCGACGACGTCAGCAGGGAGAGCCTCGACGGGATCCCCAATTCGCTCTCCGTCCAGGGGTAAGCTGTCAAACACCTGCCAAAAGCCCCCTGGGTCTATTGGACGTATTTCCGGAAAATGTCACATTAAGCTTATTCCCCCCAACCGACACCCTGATATTGCATGTTTAATATCGAGGGTAGCACGCGGTACCCGAAAAGGACATCTTGGGAATTCCAAAGTGCAGTTTTCTACATCGATAATCAATATTTATATTAATGGACCGAGGTTGTTAACAACGTCCAGTGGTGGGGAAATGTTTCCTAGGGCTGGGGAAATTATTTTCGAACCGAGGGAAAATCTCAAGCTCTGCCTAAACCGTGCGAAGCACTTCTTCAACATTGAAACGCACCTTGGAAAGTTTCGGAGGGGCTTCTGGTTAATCTTGCGAAAAAGCGGTTTTTAAGGAACGAATATTGACCGCTTGGTGGTTGATCCGATTATCTATAATCGGCTGAAGCCTTTGACATAGCCGAGAACCTCTGCAAGCGTAACTCGGGAATCGGGGGGCAACAAATTGCATCTATGGAAAGATCCGCAAAAATGAGAAATTTCTTCCATAAATGCTCTCGCTCCGTTCCTTCGATTTCATTTCAATTGTTACTTCTCTGTACGCGGTCGCGTTGATTATACTTGATATCAATCCTTGCATGAAGGAGGTGACGGATAATTTTCCGAGCCGCGGGGCGCACGTCGAAAGTGTGTGCGAAATAAACGTAGGATAAAGAGAAAAAGAGAGAGAGAGAGAGTAGATAAAGTCTTCCGAAGCCGCAAGGTCGAGCACAACGTGTTGAAGAAAATTTTCACCGTCCATTGGTTATAAATATCGCTAGCAGCTAACGCCACGTTGACATTTATGGGGCTTAACCTTCCATCGCGGGTATAAGAATGATTACACGGTTCGATTTACTGCGACTATGGATTTCTTCTTCTTGGCATGATTTTCTTTTTTTTCCCAACCCCTCGTGAAGACGCAAAGGGGGGAAGGATCGATACCTTCGATTTATCTCGCACGCACGTCGATTACCCTGCAGGATTGCGTACCACGTCGTGCACGTCACGTCGGTTTGTAATCACTGGCTCCCCGTTCAATTTATTGATTAATCAAACCTCCCCGTAAAATATACATCAACCCATAGGGCTTCGAAGCATCGAATACCTATATTCAAATCTTAAACCCAATATCCGTCAAAACGCTCGACTCGAAATCCAGCGCCAAACAAGATTTATTAATACATAAGCGTCACGTGGGGCATGAACGCGGCGGCATTAAAAATAAAACACTTTGGCAAGTACGGGAACAAAATGGCGGTACGTAACGTGAGGCCTTAACGCAATCGATATAACTGGTGCATTACGGTTATATAATTATTTCCAGGAAGAAATGGTTACACGAGGACACGGTCTGCCCTGTACACCCTCAACAACGAGAGATTCAAACCGGCCGAACCTTTTGTTGCCATTTATTCGATTCCATTTCCCGTACCCGGTCAAAGCCCTTTAAGGCGACACAAAATTAGCGTAAATGAGGTCTCGCTTCAAGCCTTACAACGCGAAAATAAAGGCCATAAGCAAGTTCCTGACCCCCATAAAATCTCAATTTTTTTACAAATTTCCTCATACACATTTTAAACATTTTTTTAATAAAAACTGAAATTTCACCGGTGTCAGGACCTTTCTTATAGCCTCCATATTCACCTTGAAAAATTGTAAGCGATTCGGTACACCCAGTTGGGAGAAAAGCGTCACGAAAGAATAATCGGATGCGAGGTTTCGCATCCCCTTAAACAGTCACGTGGCCGCGTCCATTTAAACGGCCACGTGGTCGCGTCCATTTAAACGGCCACGTGGTCGCGCCCTAAGGGCCATCGGTTCTACAAGAAATCTGACTTCTCGTTTATGCTGGACATCGCGTCGGGTAACAACGTCTATGGCGTGTTAAATGTAGCCATAAAGTGGGCGGCATGTCGGTGCCGGAAGAGGCCGTTAATCCGTCTCTAAAGTTGCGCGATGATCACCCATTCAGGGAATCGTTCGGCAGGGCCGAGGAGCAGGTTGCTCGGCCGAGATACGTGCAACAAATACAAGAATAAGCCCTGGTGGCACGAAGGCCTAGTTTCCCGTGTGCGACCTGGTCGCGGCCTAATTCTTCGTATACATTGCGCAGTGTTTGAAGAATAAGCTAAGTGCTTCTCCAATGTAGATGAGCTCCGGCTGCACGGCTCCCCGGGCAGAAACAAAACCAGCCAGGACGAACGGTCCCTGACGCGGTTGCGGGCCGCTAAACGAGTTTTAAACTCGGCCCGAGTTATTTTATCTGATGGCCCCATGGCTCCTTTGCCCTTGTGCCAAATTAAAACTGCAAATAACGCGATCCAAAGTCGGGGGGGAACTGCTGCAAGGTGCTCGCCCCTTTCTCACGAAGCTCGGAGCGATCGCCTCGCCGAGTGGGCTTAGTTTCCTGTAAAACAAAGAGAGAATGACGTTGAAATTTCCCTATCGACGTATCTGAGATTATTGAAACATGGTCATGACGGCGTATTTGGGGGATTTATGGGGAATCGATGGTTCCCGGACGTACAGTGGCAGAGCGTGGGAAGACACGCTTTGGGCGTGAGACGTTTAGAATGGGACCTATCTATCGATTATTTACCGAGTATGCGGATAATAGTGGACATGCCGAATTATTGGAACGCGGTCTTCCGGGGATATTTCAAGAACTTCGACGTCTCAGGGTCGATACCTAGTCCGCGGCGGTGGCTTGACCGAGAAAATGGTGACTCTGGCTCTTATCCACGATGCGCTCGTATGCACCGCATTCCGGGTGCATGGAGTCCATTCAAGGTGCACTTTCCTCTATGCACCGAGACCCGGTGCGGGAACGTCGCGGTCTCGAATGCAATACGCTCGCATCTTTTAATGCACTCGGAAATAGCAGAAGAGGGATTTGCCCCGATGCACCGGGGTGCAAACCCCGTTAAAAAGGGAACAATACCCGGTGCAGCCGTTGCATTCTAAGTGAAACTACGTAATCCCACGCGAATCAATACCGGCGCGCCTATAAACACGTTTTTGCAAGGCCAGAAGTGCACCGACTGCATCTCGGCGATCCTGCAGTCCCTGGGCTACCCGTTGCGGATATGCATCGCGTTCCCTAATCGGAAAATGGAGAAAGAAGTCTGGCCAATTACCGATAACGAGCCCTCTCGCGTCGACCCAAATGTCGCCGGGGAACGTAAATATCCTCCTCTTTATCCGCTTCTTCCCTCCTTGGATATAATGGCCATATCTCTTATCAACCTTATCAGCGGATCCGAAAAGGAGGCCGCCGCTGGAAAACGAGTCGCCAGACGTTACGAGTCATTCCCGTGCTAATTGATTCCATTTACGTTAAGTGGACCCCGCGGTATCTGCTCCGCTTTTCCATTGACATTGCGGTTCCTCCTTAGACCATTTTTCTTTTTTTATTATCCTAGGTCCCTTGCAAGACGCTCGCCGCGCCAAGAGGCTGTCCACCATTGGACGTCCATCCAACTCGCGCACTCGTGTCTCCCCAGGGTACATGGGCGTCATATATACCGCCACGCATGTACATCTCAATGGGTTTTATGTGCGGTAAATGCGGTCGTAGAGCTAGGTTTACATCCCAATCCAAGGCAGACTGCAAGTCGCCATTGTACAGTCGGTCGCATGCTCGACGATGCAGTCACGAAGTGGCCGGTCGATCGAATGCGTTAGTTTCTGCCGCGGTTCTGGAAACATTTCCCGTTTTACACATCAGGTATTCATTATTTACAAGAATACAGAGTGCAGTACATGGCATGGAACTAGAATACACCTGTAAGCCAGGGATGAGCTTGCTCGGAATGTCTGCGCGTCCGACTTCTCGCGGCCGGTGCATTCAAAGGTGCATTGGGTGCACTCGCGCGTTTCAATGGGCTTCGCATACGAGAAAGGCGGCCGTGGTTAAGTTTCCACATGGATCGGTACAGACTGCTGGTCGCCATTTCTCCGGTCAAGTGACGCAGGTTCCGCCTCGCATTCGACGTGTCGAAAAACTTGCATCGCCGACCTGGCTACTACACCGATGACCGCTTAACCCAGCTCCACCTGGAAAAAATTGATTTCTTACTGGCCATCGATGGAGAAATTCGACTACTATAAATGTCAATGTACATTGCTAAGATTCAATGGTCGAGGTAACCCAGATTCGGGTACCGGAGTACCACCAAGGCCTCGTTATCGCCGCAGCCCGATAAGCGACTATTCCCCGGTTTTTCCGGAGGATCGCCGAATCCGCATTTCGAGGAGCAATAATCGGCCCCGACCTCCCGAAACTATGCAAACTATCGCAATTACGGGACAAGAGGGGACCGGAAGTGGGATCGTCCGGCCGCGAAATTACGTTCCCAGCCCCTCGTCCCTCTCTTCCCCCTTCTGGGGCAATTTTTGCGGCTATCTTGATGCGGCCTGGCAGCCCCTTCCGAAGAAGTCGCCACTCGTTGAAATTACCCCGTCGGACTTGGCTGGACAGCTCTTGGTACCGTTGAAAATACGGCAGGAAAGTGGCGCAAACACTGGGAAACAATACCCCTAAAATAGACGGCAGACCCCAAAAGTGGTATACCCTACGGAAAGAAAGAACAACGTTACAATAAGCCGGAGACTTGCAAACTATAGTTGTACATATCCATTTTAGGGACTGACCTTATATTACTCGGATAATGTAACCGAGAATATAACCGTCGATTAAATTCTCTGAGAATTTCTGAGAATGGGAATTTTTTGTTTTTTTAAATAACTTTCGTCATTTTCAATCATTTTAAAGGCGACTCGCCGATGGTGGTGCCACCTAACAGGCGACAGACGTACTCTGAGAGTGCCTGATAATGGCTTACCCACTAATAATCATCGATCACTTCAATAATTTCTAATGACATCGAGACATTAAACGACGCTAATTTTGATCGATCTAGAAATCCGTTTCGCATAGTCTCCGACTATTAATTTCAATATAAACATTTAAAGTTCTCTTAATACCTCATGGGACATTTAAATAACCGCAAGACTCTCGATTATCTTGCTCGAGCTAAAATCTTAAAAAATTTAAAAACCCTGCCTGCGTCGCACTTCGTGCAATGACGTTTAATTCTAGTTTTTCTCAGGTAAGCACGCCGGTCCTGCAGGGACCTGGTTTATCGGCACGCGTGTACTCCATCGAAATTCTCACACGTGGATGGGGTGGCTTAGGGGGTGCAAGAGGTACCGCGTACACGGGTGCACGTAAACGGACGTGCACCAGGGTGGGGGTGCGTAGAGGAGGCCACCGAGAGAGCCAGCAAGGACGCAAGCATCGATTCTAACCCCCGCCTTGTCCCACCCTGATCCTAACTCACCCCATCCGAGTCGCCCCTTTTGCCTCGAGAAGGCGAGCACTCGGTCACTCGGAGCCGACAAGGAAACCACATAGGACGAACGACCGAGGACGACCCCGTTTTCGCCAAGGGGTGGTTTCCTAAACCTAGGATTCCATATTTCAGTTCAAAGGGGTTTCACGTTTTCCCCTTCCTTCCTTTTCTTCTTATTTTTTTTTCTGTCCGACTTCGAGCTCCGATGAAGTTCTTGAGGGGATGAAGGCCAAGGGGTGGGTTTCCATAAGTTCTCGTTGCAAGCTTTTTTCGCTCGTTTCAGATTCACCTCGGAGTCGAAAGGTTCCTATGGAGAACGACATATCGGATTAGGGCGGAAAAACGGAAGAGTATGTGAAGTTGGAAATTGAGGGAGGATAATGCCACGGATACGTGGGCTATTGAATCAAAGTGTCCCCCCTGCCCCCCCGGAACCGCGAGAGGGTGATAAAGGCGAGGGAGCTGTGCCCGGAACTTACCTGTTCAATTTTGGGAGAGAGGACCCGGTTTTCCAATTCCTTACTTTTCCCCCATCGGCGAATTTTTCCTATTTCCCTCGGTGAGCTCGCGGAATTTCAATTCGCCGAGAGGAATATTCGGCTTCCCTCCTTCGCTCCGATATATCTGCTACACACGGATCTAAGGAAACGCCGTAGAGTCATGGATTAAATCGAGCAAGGTGGGAAAGGACGCGTCTAATTAATTCCGTGATAGAGCCCCCTCCATTACTCTTTCTCTGATTTCCTTTTAAAGAAAAATTTCCCCGACATTTCGGACACTTCCTTCGCCTATCCTGGAATTACGGATTAAATCGAGGAAAATGGAAAAGAACGCGTCCGATTAATTCTACGCATGGCGGAATCCCTCGCCGATCCGCCATTTTGATTTCCATCGTTTCATCCCGCTCTTCGACCTCCCTATAATGAAAAAAATTTGTAAAATTTTCTCCCTAGGACAATTCTTTCGCGTTTTCTGAAAATCCAGGAGAAACGGGCAACGAGTAGATGCGATGCTCGATGGATTTTCACTTCCGGGGAAAACTGCATTTAGCGCTAGTCGGACGCGCCGGTGATCGAGGCCGGCAGGTGACACGGATTTCCTGCTATCGCGGTAATAGATATCGAGTTGGGCTTCAGTCGATTATTTGTAGAATTGTACATACGAACAGACGGCCGTAGACCCGCGATATCGCGGGCAGGAAGTTCGGTCGAAAATTTCGCCCCTGCCCGCAGTGATAAACGGAATAATGAACGCAGTGAGTGACGGGTTGCGGGACGTCGGAAGGGTGATGTTGATTTTTGATAACGGTCCGACTAGGTCCGGAACAATTGCCTGTACACAATGCGCCTGAAAACATTTATACCCCCCGCAGTGCCAATAAGCACACACCAGGGGAAGAACCGGCGACTCCGTTTCCCAAAACTTCACGGAAATTAATTACTCAGGAATGGTAACGAGCCAGAAATTATCCGAGCGCGAAGCTTCTAACGAGGTTGAGATCCAGTATCGCGTAATGGCGTACACCAAAATGCTTAACCATACCGGAAGATCAGTCTTCATCAGCGATTGCAGACGACGTGCCGCTAGATTCGACTCGCGCACCTTAATGGCAGTTGGAGTCCACCTTAAATCAAAGACAATTAGGATTAATTGCAATTAAAGTCTCCATTCTAGTCCCACATGCAAGGGGCATAAAAATGGGTCGGATTGAAATTCACCTGTGGTCGCGAAACTCGCAGATGAGCGGTCCTCGACTAAACGTTCTGGTTTTCGGTTTCAGAAACTTGAGCAAGACGATGACGACCAGTATCTTGACTCCACCTGGGCCGACGGCGGCAGTCTGAAGCGACATTTCCAGGGTCTGAACAACATCTCGTGGAAGCCCCACTAAAATGGAATCCAACTCGGACGAGGGGTGGTGCCGTGCATCGCCTCGTCTGCAAGATCGACGGTACGGGTCATAATAAAAGAGATGTCAGGCTCGCCGTATCGCGGAGTAAAGCCGGGACAAATATCGGGGAAACGAGTGAACCAGAGCTGGGAGTTGCACCTTCGCGAGGCCGGCCATCTTTCGTAGCGCTCGAGAATCGGGGGACGAGGTCAGGGAGCCCGAAGAACCACCGGAAGAGCCAGGACCGACTCGCCGGGAAGACCGCATACACACACGCATACACACTATTTTACTCACAGAGATATACGATATTTTGTGACTAACGTTTTTCTATAACTTAAAGCGCAAAGAGACGGATACCAGAATCGCATTAACGAGACAAGCGGTTCTCCTCGAGGTGCACGGGAGGAAAGGACCGCGAGGCCCGAAGAGGACGAAGCCAGGAGACATTGAAGGTGCAACGCATCATGCCACGGGAACTATTCCACGAAGGATGCCCTCCCCCGTGAGGGTGACATTTTTTTCCTTTTTTTCCTACAACGGCGAAATGACTTCCTCCTCGAAGAAGAGCGCGACAGGAGGGGTCGCGTATTCCTGACAGCGCCACCGTCCGACCACGAGGATCACGCGCGTACCTCGTTAAGGATCTCTTAGATTAGGAGAGGCTGCGACGAATTCGCTAAACGTCGGACAAACGGCCATGCCCGTTAAAGAGGGAACTTCCTCCCTCGGGAGTCGCAGGACGAATCGCCGCGTCGTGGGATTCGCGAAGGATCTCTTGTTCAAGGACCCCTCATGCCGGGGAAATTAGGAGCGCCGCGCGAGTCCTCGTCTATTCACCGCACAGACAGCATATTACCGTCCGAATACGGACATCCTGGGCGATTAGTCAAGTTCTTTCCTGCCTGGCCGAAGAAGAGGCTACGAAGGATACGCCGTCGCTGGTCGACCGCATCCTGGATGACGATTCGAAGGATCACGAGTGCGGCACGGGTTCTCCTGCGTTTCCAGAGTCGCCATGAGGCCCTGAAGAGCATCCTCAGGGAATCAGCGGTGCAGTGATTAGGTGATTCATCGAGACAAGATCCATTACGCCGGTAACGTCGATCCCTCCGAGGATCCCGAAGACCAGGAAGAGTCTCAACAGTCTCATCCGTGTCGCCGTCTGCATCTGAGCTTCGTCTCCAGGATGGTCTCAAAGGGTGCAAGCCACCCCCTCTGGTTCACTCGCAAACAGCCGAGGCGGGTAACAGAGCAATGCGAGAGTAATCCGGGATAATGGTACGAGATCAATTCGCAACACTATCATATATTAAAGTCACGTTAATTACCGATTAAACCTAATAAGTAACTAACTACCGAATAACGTTAAATGAGTACTAATTAAGTAATTCGCTTGCTGTGTGATCATGACGCATCCACCCGCCATGCATCGTAGCAATTGTGAACGCGACACCGAAGTACACGCTCATAATCAATCGTACACGATTAAAGGTAAAGTTTAGATTTCTAAAGGTACTGTCCGATGCCGTCGCCTCCCAGGAGGTCCGGTGCGACCGGCGATACCGAGATCGAGATCGCCAACCCGAGTCGACCGGACCTCGAAGAGGTCACTCTTGGAACGTGTAAATATACTCTTGGTAACGTCGAAGACGTCGAGTGCGCCGATAGGGATACGATACCGCATAGCGACTCCGGAGGTAGAGATCAACCGAGCTCCGATTCGAGTTTAATTCCAGCCTGCCGAGTTTTAGGTACCGAGTCCAACCCGAGCAGGTCGAGCTCTACCTCGAGACACGTCGCGCGCCGCATGGCGGGATAACGCATTCTCTCGTCTTCGAATTTTCGGTCATACGCAGTAGGGAGAGAGTTAATTAACGCGAGGCGTGCCGACCAAGTCGTCTCAGTGCGCCCCCCCGATTTTTCTACGGAGACAGATTTAAAGACCATCACGGTAGTCGGCGATGATTCCTTTTCGCGCTTTCGATCGGGTGACCTGAACGCGACCAGGCGTCCTTTGGCCGCATTGCGGACGATCCGTGGGATGCCATTGAGGAGGACGTAGACCTTGCCGGAGTATTCGAGCCTTTTAACACCTTTTCACCTAAAAAGGTGTTAAACAAAAGATTAAAAAAATGAAAAACAGGGGTTAGCGAGCGTTCCAGAGAACCGCGTAGAAGATTTGCTTCGACCATCCGCGAGCTTGCTATCGTGGGGTCGTTCCAAGAAAAATTCGTAATTACACGTACGGTATCACTTAACAGCACGCCAGGTTGCGTCGGGACTCGGGTGTTGGTTTTTCGACAGAGGCAGGATACGGCACGGGTTAATTATTGTTCTAGGCGGAGGCTCCGTCCTGCGCGTGCGCGCGACGGGGAGCCGCGCATTACCACGTTGATTACCCTACGGGAAGAAAAGAGGAAATAATTGAATCGTTTTTATGGCTTAAGAACAAGTTGTCTGTGATCTACAATAATTAAAAGATATATTAAATAAGTATTGAGGGAGGGCGAAGGTATAAGATATTAAATCAATAGATGTATATTGAAGGGGGGGGGAAGGAAGTGTCGCGAGAGGTGTGCTCGCGCATCGGCCACTTCCGGTGGACGAGGGGCGCGACCGGCCCCAGTCAGCCCGAGAGCAATACGAATAGAGAAAGAGAGATGCCGCATTAAACGAAACCACCGCAAATGAATTCTAGAGGAGCTAAGGAAGATAAAATGATAAAATACAAAAAACAACGTTAGCGATACACACACACACACACCCTACGTGAAATTAAAGGAAAAAAAGGTGAAAGAGAGAAAAAAAAAACACATCGCGAGAATTGTAAAAGCTACCAAAATATAATTGCTGTTGTTAAATCTGTGCTAATTCGCGAGGCGAGGGCGAGCGCTGCGTTCGAGCTGAGAGAGAGGAAGAAATAAGAAATATGAAAAAAAAAAAAAGGGGAAAAAAAAGAAAGGAGCGTCGAAGAAATGCAGAGGAAACCGGCACGGCTCGTCGCGGCTACGAGTTCATAGGTTTAGCTAGTTATAGAGGCGCAAACACCAAAATCGTTCCTTCCACCCGCTCCGGCCGTGTACTTATTAATTTTAATATATCGCATCTCATATGTATACATCGAGGCTCTCCGAGCCAAGCGCACCTCAGAATGCAATTGCCACTCCGGCGTTTTGCCGACGCGACACGCACGATATAGATATGTAAAGAAACATACATATCCGTGTATATTTCTTTACTTATGTATATTAAAATAATTATATAAACGCCACGTCACCGAATAATAAGTTCTTCTACGAGAGCGTTGCGAAAGAAATGTCCGACATGATTTTTCTACCGTTTGGCACATACGTGGAGAACACGTACAAGATCGTCGACTTTATATTTATGTACAACATTCAATTATTATAAATTTTTGACGTTATTATGAACTTATGATCGATTTCGTGTGAAAGTGTATATGGCTTTTTCTGCGGTTAACAATAAAATGTTGTCAAAGCTTTTATTAAGAGGAGGTCATTCCATACGGAGTTTCGTCATGGTAATGGGGTTCTTTATTTCATTGTCACATAGTTAATCATTTCAGCGCATCTTGAGAGAATCAGCCGTTACCATAACGACACCGGCAGAGAGCATAAATATTGGTAGTATAACGCACAAAAGTGTCCCGAAAAAAAAAAAAAATCACTGGGAACGTTTTACTAATGTTGTTTCGATTTGCTTTGTCTTCTGCCACCATCACACTCCCGGAATTCAACCTGTAACAGAAACACATACATTTAGAAAATCATTACAATTTATTGAATTCAACGAAGAGTTTGACCGATAGCGATCAGTAAGTGAACGAAACGTTTGTCATCTGGTATTCAGTACTCTAGCCAAAATTATCATCATTTAAATCGTGTAACAGCGGGCAGTCAAATATATTGGTCTACGAATAGATGTCGTCCTACGATTCAAATAATTACGGTAGAAAAAGAAAAAGAACTGTATATATAAGTGAACTACAGTATACAAGTGGAAATACCTTCGTGTAAAATTACAATGTTGAGTAAGTTTCAGTTTCCCACAGAAAGGTCATCTCGTGTCACCTGACTCCCGTCCTGAAATACAGAAAAATACTGATATATAAAAAGTAATAATATAATTAAATATCATATTTTTTTTTGCACAATGATATCAGCATACGTTGGGATTTTGTACATCAATGTCATCAGACCCGAAAGATTAAAACTCATCATTTAAAATAGACATGATCTTTCATTTTATATTTAAACCTAAGAAACACTTTTACCCGAAATAAAATGGTAGGCATTTCTTACCTTGCTCTTCTTTTTTTTTTGGTATAATTATAGCGTTGAGTGTATTTCGGTTTCCTACAGAAAAGTCATCTCGCGTGACACCCGACTCCCGTCCTGAAATACAGAGAAATATTGATGCATAAAAACTAATAATATAATCAAATATAAATTATTTTTTTCAGTGATATCAGCACACGTTGGGATTTTGTACATCAATGTCATCAGACCCGAAAGATTAAAACTCATCATTTAAAATAGACATGACCTTTCATTTTATATTTAAACCTAAAGAACACTTTTAGCTGAAATAAAATGGTAGGCATTTCTTACCTTGCTCTTCTTTTTTTTTGTATAATTATAGCGTTGAGTATGTTTCGGTTTCCTACAGAAAAGTCATCTCGCGTGACACCCGACTCCCGTCCTGAAATACAGAGAAATATTGATACATAAAAACTAATAATATAATCAAATATAATTTATATTCTTCAGTGATATCAGCACACGTTGGGATTTTGTACATCAATGCAATCAGACCCGAAAGATTAAACTCATCATTTAAAATAGACACGACTTATCATTATTACTTTTATACCTAAGAAACATTTTCACAGCATTCTCACCTTTCTCATCAACGAAGTAGGAGCTGCAAAATTGACGTTCACGATCATCAATAAACCGTCAGGGGATTTTCAATCTGTAACAACCCAAAACAAAAACAATTCGAATTAGCATAAAGTATACTAGTAAGAGCACTAATTATTTTTTTTTTAACATTTCCTATCGGTTACTTAATCTTACCTGAAAGTGAAATTCACAGGTGCGTCAACCAGCAGCTGCTATCAGCGTCTGCAATCACAGAAAAAGCTTGTTTAGACTTTGTCAACAATTAATTTGAATTATTGGACGAGAACGCAGCCAAATTAAACGTTCCACTGATTACTTTTTTTTTTCGAGTTTCTTGTAGTAAGTAATGAAATTCTAATTGTTGCTACGCTAGCGTAAGCCTTTTAATCTTTTTTCTTTCTCACTTCGCACAGTCTAGTGCTGTTCAAACGACAATAATAAGCAAGGCTACCGTGTAGTTCATGATTATTAATTTAATTCAATTTCATTGTAACGGAAGGGTGGGTGTCCCAATGATTTTCTTTTTTTTTTTTTTAATCACAGTGGAAGACACTGTATATCACACTGTACAGTCCGCTGATATGAGGTTTAAAGGTGGTTAACAACGAACGTATGTTGAAATTGTTTTCAATTAGCGGTCATTACGTGACATTTGATGTCCCGTGCGATGAATATCGGCGAAAAGAGTACAGAGAAACCTCAGTTGCGCAAATCGTAGAAATCTTGAAGATCCCGCGTCAAAGAAACGCGACATCTCATATCACATATCATTAAAGGTCCCAAAGAGAAAATCGTCGAAACAAATGACTGAATTTTTGCGCGAGTAAAAAAAAAAGAAATATCTCCTTGAAGCACGATCATCTTAAAAACCCAATTCCCGAATTAAGGATCTCATTGTTTGCAAGCGAAATCGTTTGCATCTTTTTTGTACGCGAACAGATGTAAGCACATATTCTCCTCGACAAATTGAAGGGTTTCAGGGGACGAGAGGGTCGAACAATGAAACAGAACAATCAATTTTCACCGACCGATACTTTTCACCCAGGTCATATAAAATGCATCCTTGTCAAACAAAAGAAAAAAAAAAAAAATGGATCCTTGTTAACTACTGTCCCTCCAAGTGCATTAAGTACACCCTGTCTCCGATTGTTATCTCAAAGCTCGCGAGTTTCGAAGTGTACCTCCCCACGTCTTATCAGTCATTAACGTTGATCGGTAGAATCAGTTAACATTAATTTCCTGATCACCGCATCGGATCTTTCCGAAGCCACCCAGCATACATTGTTAAAGGCTATCAGTCTCTGTACTACTCTCATCGATGCCCGAAAATTGGTCGAAATCAAGAAAGTCCGACCGGTACCCAAAGTAAGACGTCAAGTGTCAATCTCGTAATCTCTTTCAGGCATAAACCACAGGTCCAGCGATTGTTCTTCCACGACTGTTCTCAGCGAGAATGGCGAAGTTAACGATAATCAGTGCACACACGTTAGCTCTGTCCACAGCCCGGTTTTCCAATGCTAAGCCTAGACAACCCTTTGTCAAAGAACGCGTGTCAAATACTTTGGTTGTCATAGGCGAGAAGAGACATACACCGGGCTGTTAATGAGATCGACAATAAAATTGCATGGCCTTGCACATAACCGCGTATCATCGACACGTTCGTTGGATCGGATCTGCAACATTTATCAATAAGTTTAAACAACAGAGTCCCACCAGTCGAAGACCTGGGACCCGACAAAGCCTGACATTGGGTTCGTTAATCGCCACCTAGTTTCTCCCCCTCGCAGTATCTATGCGGACAGAATTCGTAGCAAAGTCGTGTACGTGACAACAGGGTAAACAATCAGCGAAATGTCGAGATGGCAGTGTCGAATGTATTCCGAGGCTGAGGGTAATCGAACGTCCCCCAAAGGTACAATGGCGGACATGAATGCCTCCCCTGCAGATACGGCATCGCCTGTGCAGGACGGGAGGGCATTGATGTCTCCCAGTGTACGTATTACGTATAGTAGAGATGCATGCATACGTCAAAGGATAGAAACGATACCCGTGTCTCCCCCGAGAACCTGTAAAACAAAGTGCATCCAATTATACTCTCATTAACCCGACGATATGACAAAGCCTCCGGGTTCCTCCGTGGAACCCGGGGGAAAAAAAAAATCAGCCCCAAGTAAACCACAGTTTGTATCCTTTGCCTACGCATGGACGTCCCACCCCAAGTGTAAGGTAGAAACATTAAGTTTAGTAACATTTTCACAAAGTCTACTCACCTCAGCATAGCGGTTCATTGACTAGTGGATTCAAGTAAGTAAGCCTATATCTTGTGAGTGTTGCCCCTCTCTCTCTCTTTCTCCTCCGCCTAAACGATTCCGCCGCGATCGAACGACGTTCGGATCACGGATCAAGAATGTTCAGATTGCATGGTAACGACCCGCCACTATTGACAGCGCAAGGTATGCACAGGTGCCAGGTATCAGTTTATACCGGGAACTGGGGCGCACATATCCAAGGTATACGCCCGCCCTCGCCATTGTCGTCGGGTCATATAGTTGATAGCCATATAGATGAGTGTCTCATTTCAAGAAATCCCTCCACAGCGACCAGCCGCATATGTGCGATCGACCATAGGCCAATCGATTGCACACAGTGGCACCGATCGATCGACATTACGCCGGTCACTCGCTGTCATAACTTCTCATATTTTGCTCATTGCTTAACTCGCCGGTATATATGACACATACGGTGTATAGGAAATTCATTACCCTCGAATAGAGGGTAAACGCACCAGCAGAGAACTCCCCTCGGGTTTCGAATTAGGTTCGTTCCCTTATCAATATATATATATGGAAACACCAATGAATGGATAATCGAGTAGAGAACTTTAACGAAGGTACGAGCTTAATTGCGCTCCAAGTGGACGTTCGTTTACTGGTGTTTTATCTACTTCTAGGTGAAAATACCAGAAAACGAGCATCGCTCTTCGCTGGGTGCCTATCACGTGTATCCAATCATTGGTGTGCCGGTACATTTTAAACATTAATTTATGCAGCTTCACCCTGCACACCTCCGACCATACCAGAGCTCCCAGGTAATTAATGTACATTTTCACTGTGAATAAATTAATATTCGTTTACTGGCGCTACTAGGTCAGTGGGATTTAAATTAAAAAAAAAAAAGAAAAAAAAACTAGTTTTCGAGGATCCAGTATTCGGAGTATCAAGTCGTACAACAATGTTCGTAAGGTATCACAAGAGGTCACATTCTGCTATTTTCTTCGCAGTCATAGTAATGATGGTTGTCTATCACCGACATGCTTATCAAAGTTGCCTACTGGGTGATCGACGGTGAATATTATCACAATAAACCAAGTGTTCTTCAAAGTGCTTAACGGCAAAAATAATGGGTAAAGATTAACAGCCTACCAAGACGTATATCCCAGGTGGAAATGAAGTTAAAAAAAAAAGGAGCAAAGGTGTTAGTAAATAATCATTCATTAAATTACAAAGAAAAAAAGAAAAAAAATGTGCCTCGGCACTTCTTTATCTGATGGGCAGTTTTCAAAGTGCCGAAAATACTTTCTACTCTCATGCTCGTAATTAAGTTACGAAAAAATAGAATATAAATTCTCTAAACAATTTACGGGGAATGATATAGAGTTTCGCACTTTCATATCAAGTCTACATACGTAAAATCAAACCGTGTACCTCTAAATCCATACAAGTGATAATATTTCATAACATTCGCATAGAAAAGAAAATGAAAAAAAGGGGGGGAAAGAAAAAAAGAAGGAAATGCCAAAACCAAGAGTCCCTGACAACGTGATTGAAGTCAATCATTTGATTATTAGTACTACTTCACCTCTACCTCCTTTATTCTCGTTTGCTATAAATGTCAAATTAGGTCCGAAAATGATAACGCAAAAGAATGTTTACATCCGAACGAAAGTTAGTTTTGATGTCACGGCTTATAAAAGTGTCACCTAATTAGTCGTCAACCGTACAAATTCGCAGTAATCAGACGAGTACTTTGCGTTTATACCTTCGTTTCTAAATAAAAAAAATATATATAAATAAAATGACATAATATTCTACCTTGATCACGAGTCCAATTGAAACCTTGTTAGGCATCATACACCAGGGGTACTGGTTTGTTTTCCTTTGTTAAATTTCTTTGCATGAAAACAAAAATGAATAATTGTACCGAAGAGAGACCGTCCGAGGTGCCTACATTCCGAAGTCTCGAGTCCATTATAACGATCACGAACATCACCTTGTAAATAGAATTTATCGTATAATTAATAGAAAAATTACACTGTTAAAATCCAGAAATATACGCGATACGAAAAAACCAATCTCAGTTAGACTGCGTCCGACAATCTCTGATCGGTGACAAATCCAGTCCAACAATATCCTTTAAAGATCGTTTAAACTTTATTGGTAAAGTTTGTCTCCGACGAATAAGATACTTCACACAGGTTCAGGTAGCCCGTATGCGTGGCTGGCCCTTTAATCGTAGTGATCTTATTCTAATGATAAATGTTTAATTACTCCATAAAGCTTGGGACAATGAGAACGTACAGTTCTTGTCATCAGCGACATCACCGTCGATGTTTCGCGACACATATGAACGTACAAGTATAATACCGACAAGAGACGTACCTAGACTCGTAATACTATTAGATCGATAATCCTTCCTTCTCAACTTTCTGCACGAATTAGAATCGTTCCGGAGGGCAAACGTTCACACTTCTGTCACGAACCACCCGCGTGTCCTTACAGTTAACGATAGTCTTAACCTTACGCAATGTATAAAGCGATGGTAGCAGGATGATGATAACTGGTAATATAATCGCAATAAGCGAAGCAGCGTGTTGTCTAATCGAAGGTACAAATCGAGCCGTGCTCGATTCGGAATATGACCTGTGTCAACATTGCCGTGCGAAACCAACTTCGATTAGAAGGTCTAATCTGCTTGTTTCCGAAACACCGCGTTGCTAGAACATTTGAAATGAATATTCCACGTCGATTACCCTACATCGTTACGTCCGACAACAATAACCCAATCGCACATCCCAGTCCCAATAACGAGCCATTAAACACGACCGTCCACCTCGAAGTTAAAGTTCGCCTTTTCTCCTTTCAAACTCCAAAAATCGTCCGAAACGACTCCACACATCATGGAAATCCTCGACCCCCAAGCCGACATCTGCCAAGATAAGCGTCGTCATTTTTGTCATTGTCATCGTAATCTCGTCTGAAAATTCATTTTTGCTATCACGGCATCGCAACCGAGTTTCAAGAACGATCTCAGAGACGCCAGCCTGAGGACTTCCGCCAACAGGGGCGACCTAGAATTTCCTCGACACGTGGAAGAGCACTTGGGACGGCGACTTTAAAAAATCCCTAGACACTCTTGACACCTCCGGGGATTTCCCGAGTTTAATCAAGAAGAGAAGACAGACTTGGACTCCTCCGAATGGTTCCCTGGGCGAACGGATTTAATGGCTGATCACAGAGAGACCGTGGTTTAATCGTTGTCGGGCATCCCGATATGCAATGCGATCGACATGGACGATTCCTTCGAGTTTTCGAGCGACGCACTCCTGACGCGACATCTCCGAATCCCCCAACAGGACTCCCTTAATAGCGCCTCCTCTTATTAGGATACTCGTCCTGGCGATTGCGGTCGTTGCCGCCCTGCCAGCGACCACCACCGCTATTGCTTCCACGGTTGCTACCACCCATGTTGCCCATACCGCCCATTTCAACCCTCATGTCCATCAGGTCCATGATCTGACCGCGGTCGTCATTGTAAACCCCGCGAGTGCCTCGATCCATGCTATTGTACGCATCCAGGAAGGACTTGGGATCCTGCGATCCGTGATGCGTCAAATGGCAAAGCGTGTATTCGTATTGATTTTTGTTTTGCGTAATTTTTTTTTTTTTTTTCATTGTCAAAACCCGTCAAGCGACATTTTCGTACGCAGCAGAACACGCAGTGTGTTTTGTTGTTCGGATGTACCGTTAATACACGTTTTCACACGTTTCAGGGCGACCATCCATGTTTGACAGCAGCACACAGGTCATCGTCAATTTTCGTCAAATCACATAGAAAAGAAAGGGGAAAACACAATGTTAGCAATTGCGTGAATTAGACGAGCGAGGGCGCGGCGTTGCGCCGCGCTATTTTATAAGGAACGGGGCTACGGCTGGGTCTCAATTCGTCCGGAAACTTTACGTAGGATGTTTTCAATTTTAAGGAGGGAAATATGGGAGCCGTAGCAACGAATCGTATGCGCGGTAATATGTTAGTCGAGACGCGGTGTAAGTTAAACAAATGTAAATGTCCCCTGTAAATATAAGAGACAGTCTCCAACAAATGTGGAGTACGACTTCTTATTCCGCGCCTGGCTTATAAACGAGTCTAATTGTCATTCCTCTCCTGAACGGTGAAATAAATTTTGTTTAATTCGAGGGAAAAACGTTCCACTTAAGTTTCGCCAGGAAAACATCCCCGCTCTCGCGTCGTAGTTTCTCGGTTATCGGAATAGTTGGTCGTATCATTATTGAGTTTAGATTTAACCCCCAATTGATTTAACAACTTTTCCGAAAACGGAAGGACGTACCACGCGGTAGACACCAAACGAATTCAGACACAACCCGTAGCGTGTACGTTAATATTAATATTTATACATCTCACGGATACATTTCAGTACTGTATCGCATTTGTGTACCTGTAATATATATTAATATGTACCGCCAGACCAAGAAAATGCCCACGTAGACTTTCAACAAGTTTTTTTTTTCTTTTTTTCTTTCTTCATTTTAAACCGCAGATTTTTCTCGGTACTAGGTATATATATATACACGGAGGAGCGATCTTCTCGGTAGCATAACATTTTAGAAAATATAGAGGGAGCAATAATTATCGGTTACATTTAAAATTGTTCCAAGATGCTTCGTTCAATGGACTAATCAAATTATGCTCTCGAGAGGAACACTGTTATAAGGGAGAGTATTCTATAATAAGTACGATATGAGTTGGACAGAGGATGTCCCTCCCACAGGAATAACGTTTGGCTTGATTTTGGAGCTGAGACGTTGAATTAGGGAAACGGAGTTTTTGATTTTTCAGTAAATATACAGGGTGTCATCGTGGTACCTTAACGGGTACCGATCACTCCTAGATAATACTCCTGAAAGAATAGTTTAATAAACGTATCCAATTTTAATAGGTGCTAATGGTCTCCACTAAAAGAGGACCACCTATTCGGAATAGTTCAGGTTCTTCGTATCTCAGAATCAATCACATTTATATACTAAATGCAAAACCGCACAAATACTGTATTTTGTGGAGCAAAAGGAAAAGCATAATTTATTTCACGCTTCCATTTACGATATAATGTCCACTGTTTAATAATAATTTGGCATCGCAAACCAAATTGGTTTTTGTTGTCATAAATATCAACGTCTATTCACCAGGTTTCTTGATTCTGACACATAATAAAAGAAACTAAATACCAGTCAATATAATTTTACATAACACACGTTGGCGGAGACAAATGAATTTCAAATCGTTTTGATGGCATATTATTTTCGCAGTTGTTAAAAAAAAAAAAAAAAAAGAACCAAAAGTTTCCCAGGTAATTGTATGATACCGAATCGTTATAAAATCTAAAAGGAAACCGAAGACTGACATGCGAGACGAGCAGTAAAGAGGCGTGATCAAAGTCTCTCCACAAGCTCCATGACGTCATTGCAGTTTTCGAGATTCCTTCGAATGAATTAAAAGTACTTTTTATTAACTGTTGTTAGATCACTATTAGAGAAGCCTGAGAAAATGCAGACAAGGTCCACGTGCAGGAGTAGATTCTCATTCGTGATATACAAACGATTAAGTTGTAAGGATGCCATGTTTTAAAGGGGTTGAAAATATTCTTCCTTTTAGATTCAGTGGGTCTCATTTTATAAGGTTCTATGCATAAATTTAAGAATTGGCGGAATCATTTTCGTGAGTTTTAACAAGGTCTAGCACAATTGGGCATTTCTTGGTCCTGATAGAGTATATCACCATGGAACTAATCGGAGGTACATAAATAATGATAATGTAACAATTACTAGACATCACATGTGAACATTCTTCGACATTCACCGTCATCCTCGTATTACTAATCTCCATATAGTTTCATGGTTAGATGTCATCTACATCTTATCACAGTTAGGTTCATGAATAAAATAAATAAACAGAGTCTGCTGTCTGCAAAACACGTGGAGAGGCCAATCGTAGCATATCAATGTAATCATATAAACCGATCGTTTTTATTCGCATACTGGCGATCATTAGTTTTTAGAAAGACCCGGTTAAAAAAAAAAAAAAAGAAAGAAATCTCGCAGGGAAACAGGTATTGTCGTTTCAAAAGTAACGTTTCAACGCACAACTCAATCACCCCAAAGTGATGGAGCAATACTCATGGTTCAGTAAGTAGAACAGTACGACGACAATTATTTTAAAATAAAGGGGAGGAGACAAATTATGTTGAATAATCAACATTCAGGATACGTCTCATAGTCGAGGGACAAGCCGGTACAGCACACGGGAAGCTGCTCAGTTTCTTTTGGGGTTTTCAATTAATAGTTGAAGTAATCAGATTTTGCAGAGTTAATATTATGATCGATGCAAGTTCGAGTGATTAATGTTCTATCGTAAACTTTAAACCAATCTACGTAGATTCGCTTTAACTAGTACAGAATGAATCCAATGGAACACTTTTCTGCCAGCTAAATATAGAATGCTTTATACGTTTTATGAAAACGTAGAAAATTGAATTGGATTTTCATTATTCATTAATTTTGGAGTTATCCATTGTATTAATGAAATATTAGCGGACGTTCGCGGAGTTCGTAATATTCTGCCAGACTAATGAGGATACGATGTTTAAATCTTCATTTAAATAAAATCGAAGTAACAGGTCTCCTCGCAATGTGGTCAACGGTAAACCGTTCAGTCCCAATCTTATGCTCTATTTAATATGCCAATAATAAACCAGCAAGAACAGTGCACAAATATATTGTTCCCTTGCCTATGCAGGCAGTTTCAGGGAACATTTTTTTCATGCAACTATGTAACTTTCATATTATATGCCGTAACCTATGGTGGTGGTTACATTTGTACGATGCTTTCAGCGATTAGCGGCGATTGATTCCTCCACGCGTAAAAAAACCGCATGCTTTAATTATTCAATATGTAAATTATTAAAAATGACAATACCGAGCTCTCAGTAATCACTCTCTCGTCTAGATCAAGTTAACTGATTGAACTTTTTTTTCTCACTTCACTGGATAAATTTCATAACGTTGCAGACATTAGAACTCTGTAGTTGCATGCTCGCGAGGTACACCAGAGGCCTTAATTCATTAATAATTCTTTCATTGGGTATAGTCATGCAAAAAGTAAACTAGAAACTCTACTATAAATACTCGCGTTTTAAACGCAAGTTCTTTCTCATACGTATGAAATAAAATTATTTTCATCTTAAGATGAAAGATGTACGCAGAGTACTCCGCGGTGGAAAGAAAAAGTTTCATTAATTTGATAAAGAATGTCGTAGGTTTAAGTATCAGAAAAAAATATAAGAGTAATAAATAGGGATACATTACCACCGGTAAGTTGCTCGCACCTGTAATTAGACGAAAGGAGAATATTAATTTCATATTGATATAAACTGCAACAAAATAAAACTCAGTAAACTCAATTAAAATATAAGTTAATTGCATGTTGTGTTGTTAAACAATACTAACCATCAGCTTGACCATATCCATCTCGATCACTATTACTGACGGAATCGTAATTCTTTCCACTACCACTACCTCCTCGCATTGCTTGCTCCTGAAACAAATAAATCAAAGTTCTGCTGTAATCTGAATTTAAATTTCTCCACCATTCCAAAAGCAAAGTAGATACTTTTAGACCCCATTAACGATATTCTTTATAACCGTGATGACGATATCTGTGCTTTTGTACAATATTATTGTACTTACTGATTGTCACTATAGCAGTCTATAAATGAGTAATTATAACCAGTTTGATATTAAGATACATAATTTAAAGCAATATTTTATCTGTCTGTTATGCATGTTAACAGTTCTTCCACTTTTACGAACAACACTGTTTTCACAGAAGCAACTGTCAAGCAGCTATTTAAACCTGATTTTCTGTTTCTTACATACCTGCATAAACATATTATTTTCCTGTTGGCGTCTATGTAGTTCTTCTTCCTGCCTTCTAATTCGAATAGCCATCTCTTCTTGCTGTCTTCTCCGTAATTCTTCTTCACGAGTTCGCTGCTCTTCAGCTTGTCGCTCCTTGAGTTCCCATTCTCTCTTCTGCCTCTCACGATCGGCTTCGCGTATTCTTAATTCTGCGTGTAAAATTATAATATGAAAATTTACAAAAATGAACATGGGGAAACTAGAAAAACTTACAATGCAACTTAAAAAAAGTGCTTACGTTCTCGAAGAAGTTCAGTCTCATGCTCATATCTCGCAAATTCCATCTGTGCCTCAAGCTTTTCTTCTTCCATTGCCATTTCTCTTTTTAAAGCTTCCTCTTTTTGTTTATATAATTCATGAAGCTGTTTCCATCTGGTTCCGTATTCATGCTCAAAACTACCAATTTGGGCAAATCGAGGACCAACATCACGAGATTTGAAAAATTCTGGATTTTTACGGGGTAAATTCTTTTCTGGGTATCCATCCACATCATCTTGCTGTTCGAATGGCTCCACGACGACTGGACGTAGAGAACTAGAGAGATAATTCACTACATGTATTATTTAACTCAATTTTGAAATTATATAAATTAAATTTTTAATGATGTGTCCTAACTTTCGGCACATGGAATGGCACTGAAAAAACCACATCATGCTTCCTAGCCGGACTTGTTTTATTCTACCCCGTCAAATTATTTCTGGCACTCATATACTACAAAGTTATACAAGAGTGGCGTCGGGGATTATAATCACAGAAAATAAACTTAAAAATGTGACTGATGAATTTATAGCTGAAAGAAAACTCACGCTGTGAGAAAATAACAGCCATCCGTGCACTTCCTCAAAGCCAGCTGAGCACAAGGTTTTCTACAAAACTCGACTATTCCTTCACCCGAAGTTTTTCCACGTTCATCCACAATAACAATAGCTCGTTCAATTTCTCCAAATACACTGAAAGCTCGTTCTAGTAGTTCATTGGAAATCCATGGCGTAAGATTTTTCACTTTAATGGTTGATGAGTGAGGTGCAAATCGAACTTTGATAGCACGTCCTTTACGCATCGTACCATCTAGTTCATGTTTTGCTTTCTCAGCATTTACTCGATAATCCTAAAATGATCATAAACAACGGATTTAGTATATAGACAAGCTACGCGCAACACTTTTTTTATCAAAGCAATACAATATCATAATAAATACAGCCATTAATATTATCATCCAGAACTCAAACGGTAATTATTTTAATCATATCGAGGACAAAAGTATTACATATATATGTATCCATATCACTTGAATGCTTACCATGCGAAGGAATGCAAAATTCTTTTCTTTGTTGACAAACATTTCAGAAACCTCTCCATATGGCGCAAACATTTGCTGAATTTCTTGTTCTGTAACATCATTTGTCAGATTTCCAACATACAACCGATTACGGCCACTAAATTTCTTTTCTGTGGTATCTTGCGGTGGTAGTTCATGTGTAGGTCCACTGATGGACATTATCCTCTCCATTAATCGTTCCTAAAGTGACAATTTTTAAAATAGAAACAATAGTTAAAAAAGCATCAGCTAATATATGAACTTACATCTTGTGAACGATTTGTCATGCCTCCTCTGTCTCCGCCTCGGCCACCTCTACCGCCACGCATGGATCCACGACCCATGCCCATCATACCTCCAGTCATACCCATACCCTCGGACAATAAACTATCCATATTCCCCTCCATCGTGTCATTCATTTTCATCTGAAATATTACAATCCGATCAGGAAAGTTACAATCACCAGAAATTACCGATTGGCTGCACGTTTCATCCACATGAGAGGTAACTTAATACCAATGAGAAGTAAAAAAAAAAATCCATCGAGGAAATAGAAATAGACTATTTAAAAAATGTTCCCTCTTGCAGAATTAACCTCAAATAATATTTTAACCTTTCAAGTAACATCAAAGGTGCTTTGTGCCGCCACGCTTGCGTCGCCATCTTCGTCGCCTCGCCGCCATTTCTGACGCGCTGGTCGCCATCTTTACTGACTGACCGCGTGCTTCGATCAATAAAATGTATTTCGTAAAATCAAGTATTTCACACAAAAAAATCGTCCTCAACTAAATGACTAATAAATCATACCCGTTTCCCTCAGCATTTGCTTCCCCACACAGAAACCTATTTGAAGTATTTTCGCCCAGACGAAGCCGATCAGAAACTGCGCACCTACCGGTAAGGTTAACCACGTTTCCCATGATCCTATTCGCGTGAACCAGCAAAGTCCAATTTTTCCCATCATAAAACTAACCCTATATATCGTTCGTAAATCCATCATCCCACAGGAAAGAACGACTTAAGACAGAAAATAAAATCAATAAAAAACTTCGAATATTTCCCGAAGGTCGAGCCTTTACCGCGTGGTTGGTTATCAAAGATGGCGGCGAGTACGACGCCCCGGGTGTAGGTTAAAATAAAAGGACGCGGATAAAAAGTAAATGTACCATGGCTTCGTTGGGTCTTCCACCGCCTCCGGGGCCGCCTCCTCGGCCTCCGGAAAATCGCGAACCTCCTTTTCGGCCACGACCTCCGCCTCCGCGGCCACCGCCGCCGCCGCCACCTCCGGGTCCTCCGCCGACATTTCCTCCGCCGCCGCCGCCGCCGCCTCCACCTCCGCCACCGCCGCCTCCTCCAGGTGCACGTTCCTGGGCATTTTCGTTAGCCGCCTTCGCCGGGGTGTTGGCCTGCGGCTCTGGTTTCACGTTCCCCTCCGACATCTTCGGCGTGCCGCTTTGGTTCGATAATGACCTTCGAGCAACGCCGGCTACACTCTTTCCACGCAGTCGAGGCACCGCGACGCTACTCCTCGGGACGATACTTCCCCTACGGCGTCTATCAACGGAGAGACTCGTACCGGAGACAGGAGACCTGCTTGGGCGCTCTTTCCGTTTCCCCCTCGCTTTGCTGCGCCTCGTGGTGCATGCCGGGAGCGCTCGACCCGATGGACGAAGCTGATTGGTCGAGGCGCTCGGATCTGAGCTCCCATTGGCTGACGCGTCACGCGGCTCGCCGAGAGCTCCGAGCGCGGGGTCGTCCGTTTGAATCAGTGCTGCCACCAACTGCCACGTCACGAAGTGACGTCCCTTCTCCTCTTGGTGAGCCTCGTGAGTGTGTGTACGTAATTCGGTGCCGTGATTGCGAAATACGCCACGAATATTCCCGATTAAAGACTTCCAATTCGAGAAGATGTATTAGCAGTCTTGTAGCGAATTATAATCTGCGAATATCAGATATGTCGTTTTGTTTTGCACGTTTCAAGCGTGAACAGAAAATCGGACGCCGGCTGTCTGCTTTGGAGAACGCTGTACGGTAATGTCCATATTCTCATTTAATGGTATGTACAAACGAATTCTTTTTTATTAGTTTAGGTTTAATTGTGGATTATAAATATCATTGTATTTTACAGGCGCACGTAGCTTCTAAGATTCGAATTTCAAAGCCGCCCCCGTGATTAGTTGAGGCGATCTGGTACGCGCATGTGCGGCGCGCCTTTCTCGCAGAAGTCTCACTGAGCGCATCGGGTGTCACACAGAGCGCGGTGCGTCAACGATCGGTTTTCTATCCCCGATCCATTGACGCGCCGCGTTCTGTGCGACACCCGATGCTCTCAATGGAACTTATTTTCGTGCGTCTTGCGATCAGCTTTACATGTTTGCTTAAGATTTCGGAGCACTTGCCAGATATCAAAGGTAATTTTAATCTATTATCAAGGTTATATAACTTGTTAGATATCCTCTTTTATTTTTAAGTGATAAAAGATTTTGGGGAGAAACTGGCGGCACTGTGTATCGCCACTGAGAGTGAAGCGTTGGACTAATGAGTTTTTTATCTAAATTGGATCTGAATTTTTACAGATTCGAGGAAACTGCCTTTTCAAGTTATTCCCGCCGAGTTTCGTACTCGGGACACCTCAAAGTATGACGATTCAAGATTATCTGTATTTGGCTCATATTCCTCCTATCTTTATGCGACGCACGGTTGTGCAAACGTAAAGTGGTCCGTATAATACCAGTCGGAAAGCACGAACTAGTGAGTATGCCTATTTGTTTCTTAGACATGTATTTGCGGGAAGAGAGTGAGACAGAGAGGTTGGCAATGTACATAGCCAGTTACTTCTTACTTCCAGTAGGAAGTCGGTCATTCGCGCGGGGTTGGTGCACGATTTCCACCCGTATATTTCCATATCCTTTTCTATATTTCTTTGACATATTTACTAACTTAGACGCACGATGTTAAATAAAATAAAGTACGCAACGCAACGGGAAAAAATTCCACGAGCGTACGTAAATTGTCGAATTTCCGACCACGCTGCATTAGGTAGAACTGGCCGAACTTTGTCTCAATATTCAAAGAAAGATCTTCGAACATGTGCTTAGGGGTCGCCCGGTTTAATAAATCAAGCGACACGTGCGCTCACATTATGAGGTCAAAGTGTCTCTTAGTCCCGCGTCAACTAAACAGCGGTAGGTCTTGAGGCTCGTTTTCGGGAACCTGAATACTTCATCTCGAAACTCTTAACATTAGTAGATTCAATATCGGATCTAAATGTCAAATTAACGTACCCCCATAACGAAGCGCCACATTTAATTTCGAAATTCAGTCGGTACAATGGGGACCAAATTACGCGAGATGAATAATTAATAATAATTCCACACATATTCCATATAATCTGCCTCGCTCTCATTTCATGTTCATTACCGACTAATTGAAATCCTCGAAAAACGAGGGAATGGCTAAATCATCTAGCCTTCCATCTTCTCGAGGTCACTCCGTAGCTGAGTTATTTTTGCGATTACATTTTCTCCAGAATTATTCATAAATATAATTACTATAATTACAGGTGCCTATCGAAGCAGGCCAGGCTGGGTACCCTGGGGCTCTGGGAAGCGTGGAAGTGGACGGGACTGAGGAGTCTGCGTCGAATAAAAATTGGCTTAATTACGGGGCGCAATTAAAAGATGATAATAGGACCGCGAGGAGATAGTGACAGTGGGTCGCTCGCGAAGCTTGGGCGCGTAAACAAGGATATCGTCCGTAAGGGGTGGCACGCAAGCGCAGTGAGAACCCCGCCCTATCGTGGGGTAACCTCCAAGAATGCGAGCCAGTAGTGACAGTCGCGTTTTAGCTCGCGGACCGCGAGACGATATGGTGCGAAACTGGACGCGATCTTAGCCAGACTCGGGAACTGCATGTCCCGCACGCGACACTTTTGAGCCAGATTTCCACGGAAATTTTGGCCTACTCCAGCGGCGATAACTCCTCGGCGTGAAGTCACGTGCACGTGTTTTAGTCTTAATGCCTCTATAGAATATTACAATTGAATAGACGAATGGCCTAAGGATTAGAAATTTGGAAAAAATACGACCTAAGGTACCCTGGAACGCCCGAGTCCTGCCGCTCCGGCAGGTGGTCGAAAAGAGGAGATTTAACAGTTAATACCGCTCGGTGACTTTTTGATATGGCAAGAGGCCGGTATTCCTGCCTGAGAGACCTCGGAAAACGATTGTAATCATTTTATATTAATTGTTAATTGTTACTTTAGCGGGTAGACGGGTAACAGGTTGACGTGAATGGGCGAGGATACTTGAGCGGTGGGAAAGGAAAATGGAATTCGAGGATAGTGAGAGTATCTCCTGTGAGCGGAGCTCGTTTCGTCGGGGAGAATTGTATTTGCTTAACCAAAGAGGTGTCCTGCGTCGAGGCAGTGGGAAATGAGCGATGATCTACGTCAATTTAGAGGATTGATATGTTGATTGGATTCGATACGGTTGTTTGTTGGATGCTACTGACATCGGATACTGGGACGCATGATCAGCGGGACGGATGTTGATTTTCTAAACGGACTACGATGACAAGGAAACTGCGGCTAATGAATGGCCTATCTAAAACGCAGGCCTAATAATAAATAAGAAATACGTGTCGATATATCGTGGAAAGGACATCGACGATTTGAAGACTACGACGAAGCAGGATTATCGAAAGGCGTCCGAAAATCGAAATAAGCCTCTAGGATGTAAAGAGTGTGGAGAAAATCTTACCGACAGCGAATCCAGGGGGAGAATAATTAAAACGAAGTTAAACGGTAAATAATTCAGGCGAAAGTTGCTGGGCATGTTACGAATAATTGACCCCTCACGGATTCTTCGACACTTCCCTGTCGATGACAATAAGTGGTAACTATCGATTGGAAAGCCATCGATTTCTGGCCTAGCCTGTCACATGACAGATCGCACTCGAAGCTTCAGGGTGTAGGAGAAGTTCTCCTACAAGTCCCTTCCCCAGTCGTAAAGCTCCGAAGTTACGACTTCTGGTATTAAACCACCGGACGAACATCATTCCCGTTGATGTCTTTGGACGAGGAAAGGAAACACGGGACATAGTCGAGTAAAGTATCAAGGAAGTTTGCTCTTGATGAGCGAACCTTAATAAAGGGAAGAGGGATCCTCTATCTCGTGAAAAGTTAGGACGCAGCCTCCGGGAAAAATTACCGGTATACATCTTCAAGTTTTTTATGAGACGTGCACGGGCGACGATAACGCTCGGTCGACTGCCGAAGAGTCATCGATTTTTTTCCCGATCCGTTTAAACACGCGCTACGAGCACTTCCTTTCGACGTGTGGAAGAATTCATGGAAAATGATCCCTTATTAAAGAAATAAAATCACCTTTAACTCGTTTCAAAGCCAGAAGAAGTTGGTTCTGCTTCGCTCGGCGAAGATCGTTTCCATCGAGGTTTTCAAGCGACAAAAAATAAGGGAAGCTCATCTCCGAGGAAACGTTTGAAGGTGTACTTTCCACGAACAATTGTCAGGAGGAAGAGACACGACTCATCCCGATGTTCGCCAGTTGTTGAACAAACACGGTATCCGCGCAGTTCGGTAGGGGATATCGATCAAGTGGATTTTCCTACAGCGATTCCGCCCGGGAGTAGACGATTTCCACCCGGGGGAGAAAATTACCTCGCGGGAAAATCGGGATCATCGAGAGGCAGGGCTCTTGAAATCGGTTTTCCCGGAAGTTCCCGCGGGAAACACTTCCGGACTCTTAATGGGCGCGGGTCGGAGCATAAATCCACGTCAGTTCGAACAAGTTCGTCCGAAGATGGTCCGCATACTTATTACCGGCAGAGTTTAGTAAGAAGTATCGACTACTAATCTCGATGAGTGGTTGGAAGAAGAAGGAAGCTTCCTCGGGCGCGACTCTGTCCTCAAGAAATTCCAAGTTTCCGGGAGGCTGGGTTCCGGAGACCATTTGGACCCGCTGAAGACGCTTCCTACGTCGACGAGTAAAAAAACGCTATCCCGCGCTCCCGATGAGCTCCGAAGAAAAAGAGAGGTCCTCGGTTCCGGATAAAGTTAGTTAATTTGTAAGAAATTCGGGACCTCGGCGAGAAGTCCCGAAGATGTTAGGGGATGCTCGATCGACTGCTCTCGACCTAGTGAACTTCCATCCGGGAGCCGCCATCCACGTACACCTATGCTCTCCATGAGCGATTCTAATGAGGAAGAAGCGTCCTCCGGGTCTTGTAAACGTCACTTCTTAATACATTCGGGACCCCCAGGAAGCGGGGTCCCGAGCGAACGTGCCGAGGCCTTCTAGGGGATGCGCGGAAGCAGCTCCGAGCTCTTGCTGGACGCAAGTCAGAGCGTTAGTAACCAAAAATACGACATTCAGGAGCAGGAGCTGCGACGTCGCAAACTGTTGGAGCTCGGGTTCGGTGCGTCGCGGCGCCGACCGCCACGGCGTACTTGCCGTCAGCGGTTGAACTTCTACGCGACTTCCGCCCTGGTCCTGGTGGCCACTTCCGGTGGCGCGCTCCTGCTCTTCCTGATGCCACTGTACGTGGACCCCGCCTTCAGCACCCTGACGGCCGATTTCGCCCCGGACCCCGTGCTCTGCACGACGACCAGGCGAGAGGATCTCGCAGGGCTTTTCAACTGCACCTGGAGCTCCTGCAGGGAAGGGTGCACCAGCGACGTGTACCGCTGTACCCACATATACGTTACCTACACCCCTGGGAGCAATTACTCCCTGCAGAACGACTCGCAAACCGAGCCTCCGGAAACCGCAAGGACCACCACCTTGCCCAGCACCGTTTCGGGTAATCTCGATTCGTCGACCTCCCCAAAGCCCAAGACACCGCCTCCACCTTGATACCACATCAAAATGCACCTCGACCTCCCCCGGCTCGGGATTCCATACATATTCCAAGATACCTCCCGAACATCCAATATACATTGGCTTATCCCAAATTTCGAGGAGCTCTTTACTAGTTTGAATTTCTATATACCCTGGGATATCATCCCGAAATTTTTTGCAATCTATCCCAAAGATATCGAATTCATCCGGAATCGAGTTGCCGACTCGCGGTTAACTTTTTGAGAGTCGGGAATCTTTGGGACAGAGGATTCGAGGGCATAACTCCGAAATGACTCTACTAAAATGGCATTATCTTGCACTCTTAATCGGCGCCCCTCTGTCTAAGTTTCTCTCAAGGGACCCCGAATGTACGTTTTATGAGCGATTTGCGCTCCGGGAATATAACCTCTAACTCGCTACCGGAACGAGGGAAATTTTCCCCGGGGAACTCGTAAATCAGGGACCCTTTTCCCAGGCTGGTCCGTTTCTTCTCAGACGCTCCTGATCTTGGGGATAACGCGGTTTCGGGTTCTCTAAGGCGAGTTTCGCGGTTCCCGCGGAAACGTCCCGGTGATTCGTCCTTTCCGTTGGTTCGATACTCTAGGGTACGGCGGGCGGGCAACGAGAGGGCCATTTTCCTCGCGCGAATGACCACGGTGTTTAATCGATACCAAGTGCTTTCGATTTTTCATTATCGACCCAGTCGATCGCTGACACCCTTCCCGCTCCACGATTGTTCCCCGCAAACGTGGACTCACTTGGAAAATATTTTTTGTTCCATTTCTCCGTACATATCGTTCTACGTTATTCCAATATGGACATTCAGGGAGGACGGGGTGCCCATTTTTTAATGGTTTTTCAAATCATCAACGGAGCCAAAAATTTAATTTTCCCAAAGAGATGGTCGTTGTTCTCGTGCTACTTGAAGTTTGATTACTTTGCAAGTGAGAGCACTCGGTAAGGTTTGTTTTTTTCGCCCGTTTTTTTGTTCGCCTCGTGATCAGTACACGAAGGTAACTGTCGACGCCGAGTATTTCCAATAGTTCCGATTTAATCACAACTACATGATTTCACTTCAACGTTCACCCGATTGAATTCACGAAATCGTCAATTGCCCTTCGTGCAAATATGAACCAGCGGAATGATTCGCTCTCGTACGAATCGTTCTCGCGTTTCGGCTAAGTAAATAAATGATTGCAGACCCGAATTTTGGGGTGCTTAATCCCGATTTGCTCCGGTTGCATTCCGTTCTATACCCTCTGGTACTTTCCCCTTACTCAACGTTTAAACGCCCTGTTTACCTGCAAGGAAGAGTAAGTCGGCATTATTGCCCGCCAGATGTATCAGGCAACCCCAGGAAGCGGATTACACGGTTTAATTTTCCACGAAGAAGGGAATCATTCTTCCTACCAACTCCAGCCCCAGTTTCAGTTCTAACCCTCCGCTTCCATCCAGTCAGATACATCCCAGCCCATTACCCTGAAAAACTCCCCAAGAAGTGACGAAAGTCGGTCCTCGTTTTCGGGAAAAAAAGGAGTCGGGCGGTCCTCATTTCTGCGAGAAATGTCCTCGGGCATCCTAGTCCTCTCTAGTTCCGGAAGAATTTAAATCGGTCACCCCTCTCTCTCTCTGAAAAAAAATAAAAAAAAGGAAAATCCTTAGAGCAGACACCTCGGGGTGCTCCAGCTGCTCGGGCAACTCGGCGCGATAATCGATCTCGCTTTTGAAAAACCGCGGAATTGTCCGGAAACGTGCCAAGCCTGGCTCCAGATCCGCCATCCAGAGGATCCTTTGCCTTTCGCGCCTCCGAAAGGGTGACGTTTGAAAGCTCTTCGCGAATACCCCGCGGGGCATCCTGGAAATGTGCACCCTCCCCCCGCCCCCCCCCCCCCCGACCCCCTGCTGAGATTCGACGATTCGGGCTAACCGGAAACAATGCTTTTCGAAATCTCCGCAGCACCCCCCGGCGACGTCGAGGCGGTTCTTCTGGTTAACATCAAGGGCTGCGGATACCCCCCGGTCGTCGACTGCGAGAACTTCACTAGGGAACTGGGTTACAAAGGTGCCAAGTTCCCCTGCTACTACAGTCGCGTTAATGGGAGTATAGTGATGGCGGACTATAATCGCGAGGCGCAGGTCGCCACGCTGATACACTTCTTCGCTGCACCTTTCGTTGTCACGCTGGCGACCAGCGTCGCATTGTGTGTGCTGCACTGTGACTGCAGGTGCTCCTCACCACCCAGGTACAGCTCCAGGGGCAGCAGAAGAGCGAGGATGAACGATCTCAGGTAAAGCTCCACTTTATTACCGGGACCGGGGGAAAAATTACTTTCCGGGCGACATTTATTACCCCTAGATGATTCTCCTCGAAGATACTTGGCTCATATAAAATTAATTCCCTAGGAATCCAGGGAATCCAGGTGCAAGTCGAACGGCGACTAGTCTAAGAGTCGATTTTCTGTTCACCTCAGGTATCGAAAATGCTAGGGGAATTATGCAAGCTTTTCGAAAGTGCTTTTATCATAAACGAGAGGTAAGGCTCGACGTGAAAAATTATTCATGAAAAATATTCGTTCTAGTTGATGCGGCGAAGATATTCATTTATCCTAAGTCCTTTACTTTTTCATGATATATTGAACGTGTAATCGTGTACTGATGCGGAATTTCATACATCGACTCTGAGATTTATTTCGCTGATCGGCAAGTAGAAATCCTCCTTTTTTCATGGAAAGTGATTTTTTCGCTCAGGGTGGAGTATCTAGGGGAAGGACTTGGACATCTCGTGGCTTCCACTATTAGACCCGGCAGCCGTGAATTTAAAAGCCTCGGTAAACTTCGCGAGGGATCCTCGAGGATCAGCCGCAGGACGAGTTGACATGGAAAGTGGTAACGCTGGGAAAGGAAACATTTCTTTTTTTTTCTTTTCTTTTTTTTAATCTTCATTCCACTCAGTACGGGAGAATTCGAAATTCCCGAGAGACACGTCCACTTCGTATTCATCGCCATCTTCTCCCATCCACCCTAGTTAAGATAAATATTTAATAAGCTCCGCCGAGCGCCGCGCCGGCCATTTCTTTCCGCTTTAAAGGGACGCCGAGTTGCTCCTTCTCGTTACGGTAATGAAGTATTCATTTCGTCGTCACTCGGTTGACTTAGGCGATCCGCTTTCTTGGGGCATCTCGTCAAAATTTCATGCAAACCCTGGTAACATGAACTTTGCTGCCGAGGGTTTGGGTGGGCTGCACTTTTTTAAGCGGTGCAGCGCTTAGAGCTCGCCCTTGCGGTTCATCGACGGCGGGGAGAGGGGTTTGTTATTTTTCCTCTGTCAGCCGTTTATCATCTTTACGGAGGCGCCGGCACTGCCGGCAATAGAGAATAAGGCAGAAAAGGGTCGGGGACGTATCAGGCTTGGAATACCAACTGGGTGCTCATATATCAAGCCTGGATTAAGCGGCGAGACCCACGGCTTTCGTTCCCTCCGCGCGTTGGTAAACCTTCCTACGTATATCTACCACTATTCCAGTACGTGCTCTCGTGCCCGATCGTCCCGGCTTTCGGGAAATTTTTTTAAAGTCACTGGGGAGCTTCCTTTCACCCAAAGGACCCTTAAGCCACAGCCTCGTACCAAGCCGAACAACCAAAGTCACTCCGTTCCCGTGGTTTGCCGTTAATTGCGTGGAGTTCCCCCAAGACCTTGGCACCGTGCCCCGTCACTTGTTGAAGGTGCGAGGAAAAGTGGGAAAATATTCCATGGACGAAGAAAGTCCAGAATTTCTCATCGTCCTTAAAATCATCGGATCGTCCGAAGGTCCTCTCTGGAACGTCTGTAAATAGAATTGATTTTTTGTTTACAGGACTTTTTGGACAACCTGACATTACAGGACTTTTGGAATGATCCAAATTGGGGGAAAATAAGGGTTAGCGAGGATAGATCGAATGAAGGGATCTCAGAAACTGACTATCCTGGGGTAGACTTCCTAGTCATCCCTTTCAGTGGCGCACCTGTCGTCCATCGCGAATATAGCCGAGCTTTCTTTTTCCCCTCGAGAGAGTATTTCCAATTATACGGAGCTAGGTGGAGGCTCGTGCCCTCGGCGGGCGCTCCTCTTTCAGAGCTTTCAGCTTTCAGAGCCCCGTCGAAGGGTCCTCCACGGTTCGGGCGTCGGCGTCGCCACTTGGCGTTCTCCCCTCGCTCTCGCCCTCTTCGAATAGGTAATTCACGTTTCTCGGAACACTCGTATTAATTTTCCCTTTGCAGGCTGCTCTCGCTCCGTCCGGCTTCCGTTGGCCTTACGGAGGAGCGTCGGGCTTCGTTGTGCAATTAAATATTTAACGAATGGAAGCGTCGCCGTAACCCGATGCCACGGTTTCGACGCCCGCGGCGTCGTTGCTTTTATTGCTTCGCGTCCTACCCTAGCAACTCTCGATAAAATCACCGGAAACGAAAAACAACCGCCTTGTAAAATTGTGCAACTTTAAGGTATCATCCGGTTTACTTTTTAGCGATTTTTAATCGGGACTTAACTGATAATAAATAAAAAAATAAATTCTCAGAGCTTCAAACGATCGGTTATAAGTAAGTGAAATATTTACGTAAATCGCGAAGAATACTCCTCCTTTTATTTTTAGCAATTTCTTCACATCGGTTTGTTTCTAAAATAAACGAGTTGCAGTTAAGTGAATTTTTCGCTGGGATATTTTTGGACAAAGTGTACAAATGTCATGTGCTAAAAATTGTTACAATTGTACCCGCTATTCTTTGTTCTGATACCGTGGATAAATTAATCGGGTGAAGTGATTCCTCCTTGACGTAACTGCGAATCTATTAATTATGGAGAAGACTTTCTGCTTTCCCTGTTCTATTTTTTGTCGAAGATTCCATCGACTTCCCTTGTGTCTGTCGCATGAATGCTCAGGACTTCCGATTGGGGCTAATATTTGTACGGGAGTTTCATCTTTCAGGCGCAGATAGGGATTGTGTGGATAGCTAGGAGTTTTCCCGTGGGATGAAGGCTCTAATCTGAAACACAGGCAGGAAAGAACTTCTCGAGATGGTTAGACAAGACAAGGAAAATAGCGTAAACTTGACATTCGGAAAAAGAGTGGAGTTTGAATCAGGTATTAAATTATCCATAAACCTAACTATACCTCAAGGCAGCGGAAATGCAGTATGAACTTGACAGAATGCGTAACGCGTCGCGCTGTCTGCTTGGAAAATTATTAATGCCGGTAATACCTTCTTTATCGATCCTTTTTACCTTTCTTATATGCCCACTTTATTAGGCGACATGCACTCCGACGTTAAGGAACGTTCGGATAAGTTTCCATTTTTCCCTGAAATTCTCCCTTTCGTATAATACGTTTCTAATTATTTTCGGAAGATAATGAATGACGATCATGCGTCGGCAGATGATTACGAGCTGAATGTACTCTTTCTCCAGCGTATTCATGAGTATCGAATATGCCGGACTATATTTGACTTCCCCGTGTTTTCGCATGAATGCTTACGCTTCCAATTGAGACTAATATTTGTTAAAGCGTTCTACCGCGAAGTAGAAATGTTTATTTAGGGTACCGTCGGGTTCATTAACATACAGGGAGTCCGAAGCGAGAAGGGTGTAAGTTTCGCTTGGATGAAAATGAGTTACACCTAGGTAATTCAGATATGCGGAACTTTTAGTCCCGACGCGACCCATATTTACGATTTGCGCCAATTATCGCGAGTTGGTCCGAAGTTAAACAGCCGAGTGGGAAAACTCATTTGGAGAGAGTTAAAAAATTGTGATCCCCATTCCTCGGCAGAACTAATCTCCGTTTACCCGGGAGAAGTTGCGGAAAATGCCGTGAAATGGAAAAGAAAAAAAAAGAATATCTCTGCACGGTAATTACTCAAGTTGGAGTTTTATTTGGTAAATCGAGTGAGATCGTCATACGACTTCGAACGAGCTTAGACATTACGTGGTACTTCTTTTGTTAAGTACGGCGAGAATTAAACTGAAACAAGATGACGCCAAAGTTCATGGGATTCCATTTTCCCGTCACCGAATGGTGGAAAGAAAACGCGGTTAACTTTTCTTTTAATTTAATCGGTACTTACGCTCGCAGGTGCGATTACGTGGGATCAGGGAATCTCGTTAGGAGACACTTTTCTTATACGTTTTCGTTAAATTTAATTGGATGAGGTAAAAGGTGGCAAAGTCGAGTGCGCAGGTCCTCGAAAAATCGGCGGTGCCGCATTCTGGATGCGAAACGCACTTCGCCCCGTTAAATTGGGATTTTAATGAAAATGCGGAAATTTAATGGACACTTGAATACACCGGGAAGAATTTTACCGGTCCCCTGGAAACGCGTTCGGGGTAGCTTTAGTCGGAGACCGTGACGGGGGGAAGTAGTTACCTAGTTCGCCATCAGATACAATTGTAGTTTAATTACTTTTGACGTGCGTTCCGGGGTAGCTACTCCAACTCTCGAAATTAACGCCAAACTTAACTCGAGCCGGGTTTACGGTAACGGGCGAATCTTTTTACACCGAGGTAGCGGTCCCAACGAGTTGCTGCGGGACACGAAATTAAGCTTCAGCAAAATCCAAGGGGAAGTTCTAATTTCCCCTGTCCAACGCAACCAGCTCGGCGGAAAACCGGCGAATGGGGGAAAATAAAGTGCGAGCTCAAATTCCAGATTTCTGGCCCCTCGGGGCGGTTTTTAAAGTAATTGGCTACACTTTTTCCGGAGGTCATTTTTTCAATTTCGATCCAACTTACGTCGGCATAATTTCACATGTACGGTATCGACGCGCCTCGTTCGCGCGGCTCAAGGAGACACGCGAGGACGAAAGTCGGGGTAAATTAAATTCCGCATTGGTAGAAGAAGAGTTATTACAGAATCTTCGCTGGGGTGCCAGGAGGAAAACATATTTCTCGGGAGTTTTATTAAAATCCCACGGCCGGGGGGCGAGTCGACCACCGCCACATGCTCCGCTCAAACACAATATCGATGTCTCCCAACAGCCGCTACATGCAAGCCTGGGCTTAATATTTCTACGTGGGGCTGATGTATCGAGTCCCCGACAAGAAAATCATATCAGATGACTTTTGCCACCGAAAATCCTGGCCCGAGGGTCGTTTCCGTCATCGAATCAGATTTTAAGGCGAGAACGAAAGGAACTCCGCGTGCTCGCTTTCTCCTCCTTCGATCTGCATGGGAAAAATTCTAAATCGCCATCGGTTCATCTTGGACAAAAATTTAGATCAGAAAGACCGAATTCCGGCCCACTTGGCCAACCTCGTTACCTGTGGTCGAAAAAAAAAAAGAAAAGTGTTTTGATTAAATTACTGCTATATTTTTATAAAATGCTTCAGGCAATAAGCCCGAATTTTTTGGGTAAATTTGGGTAAATGCCAAATTATTTTAATATTAAATGTTCATAATCAACCTTGTAAAAATTGGACTATTCAAGGGAATATTTCCCTGAGTGTAATTTCTCGCATTGTCTCGTATACTTTAATTTTGTCTATTAAAATATTAACTTTGGCG